CTCTGCCCCGCACCGCCTTGCTGTGACTCTGCATCGTGTGTCGGTGTGCGCCCTGTGTCCCTCTGCCCCGCACCGCCTTGCTGTGACTCTGCATCGTGTGTCGGTGTGCGCCCTGTGTCCCTCTGCCCGCGGCCCGCACCGCCTTGCTATGACTCCATAAGCGGAAGGAAGGCTGGCGAATATTAAATCAGTCATCGCTCCATGGAACTTTCTGACACTGCACAGCTGGGCCTGAGACACAGCTTCTCCTTTTTGAAAGCCTACGCACAGCTGACCTCTGTGGCCTGCAGCATTGGTCTTCCAGTCATTGGCCTTCAAGTGGACTGGACGTGATGTTCTCACCAGGAGGTGCTGCACGTCTCTCCAGGTGAGCAGCGGTCTGCAAAACAACAATGGACCCTATAGGTGGTGAGCCCATTTGAGGGGGACCCACGTGCCTCGTTCGGGCTGTGCCTGACCAGGCCCCATGGGTGCAGGCCTGGCCACCAGGCACTCGCCATCAAGCCCCACCCCCAGGCCTGGCTCCAGGGGGGGGGCCCGGTGACCCGTGTCCGGGCAAGGGAAATCGTGGATCAATGTTTTTACTCATCATTAGGGGTCTTGTGAGCCGCACTTTGTCTGGTTCCTCACCCAGGACCTGTTCGCCTTGGGTGACCCTACCAGGGGCTTAAAGCCCTGGGCAACTTAGCTCCTGGGATCGTTGGAACATGCAAACCCCTCCACCACGATAAGGAGTCAGCTCCAGGAGAGGTTATGACATAATGCACAGTATTAACTCAAAGGGATATAAAATATTGAAGGAGCTAGATTATACACTATACTATACAATCATATCACACAATACAACAGCGTATACAACACAGAAGACATGCCACTTTCACAAATAAACAACAGTTAACATTCTTTGAATTTACCGTTAATTTAGTAAAAGGAAATGGTGGGAATTATATTAATATATAGAATCAAAAAATACATGGGTGTATTGGATGGTTGCTGCACATTCTGGAGTGACTTTAGGAGATTTACATCAATATGAAGATCATTTAAACATTATTTTCTCTAACTGCCTAAGACTTTTGCACAATACTGTACACAAAGGTACATTTCCAAAAACGATACTGCTTGTACTAATTCAAAGCGGAACAGATGATCCACTGTGTGTATTTGTTCCACTTCAAATTCAAATCTGTTTACACAACATTTCGAAATAGAATATCGAGCCAAAATGTGTTCTTTTCTCCAAGTGAAATATTTACAGAAAATAGTGTTTCCTGTGGCTGACAGGAATAGCAGTGACTCACTCCTCTGTTCACAGGCTTGTTATCTAATCACAGCTCAATAACTCTGGTATTTCATGACAGCACTATGAAGGAGTACAAACAACAAATTGCGAAAACAGTTCTATTATGCTTATGATCTGTTTTCATAAAGCATCTCTTTGGGAATTAACTTTGTTTTCTTGGCAACACAAGACGTTTTCCATAATAAATGATATATGGAATATATGGTTTTATACCTCAACTGTTTTTTACCTACATAAATTCGGTTTCTCTGAGGCTAGCTCCATTCTGAAACCTTCGAAACCAAATGGAACCTGGGCAAACCTTGAACTTAAAGTTACACTACTATTGTAGCAGAACATTTTTTTAGTATCTTTAGGGAGTCTGCATCAGACTACGCACTGATCAGCCTGCAGAATCACAGCATGCACGCTAAGACCTCTGGCACAGAGAGCATAGTCTGAAAAGATGTGTACAGGCTGGGATGTGTGTCTGAAACATGTGAGAATGCAAGGCTGGGGAAGTGCGCTGGAACATCTAGTGACATCTAGTGGAGGCTGGAAGTACAAATTTGAGACCCTTACTGGACATAAATGGGAATCAGTGGATGGGTAGAGGCCATTTTAAGTACAGTGAGGACAGGCCTAAAGCTCCTATACGGCAAGACTGAGTTACAGAAACTGTACTCACTTGGCCTCCAGTGCCAAAGCAATGATCCCTGCCAACATAGGGGCGGAGACTGAGGTGCCGGTGTGCCCTTCTGTGCAGCGGTGTCGAAGGTCAGTGGTCACCTGACAGGAAGAGTGCATGAGGCCCAGATGTCCACGTGAGCGAGTGACCCGGCTAAACGCAGTGAACCAGCACTTACAATCTTCCCGTGGTAGCTCTCCCCGCTGCTGTAGGTAGTGGTAAACGTAGAAGCGCAGGGCTCCAAGTACCAGGGCATGGTGCCGGCTTCTGTGGTGCTGCTGACGGAGATGGTGTAGATGCTGTTGGTGTAGCCGTCGCAGGAGCAATGGTCGCCAGCCCTGCCCCCGTTGCCCGATGCCCATACGAATATGGAGCCCCGCCCTTTACGACCCTGTGTAACCAAGAAAAACAATCCCCTATCTGCTGCCAGTCCAGGAGAGAAGCTCTAAGTGTACCACATAACGTGCATAATCCACCCACACTCCTACCCAGATATTAGTGATGGACAAAACGACGCTTCATGAACTGCTTGCTATATTTTTTGACCCCACTAGATGGTGGTCTTGGTTTGCTTTGGGGCATGCTTTGTGTCCTGTTTTGAACAGAGCACCATCTAGTGGAGTCAAAAAATACAGCAAATGGTTCATGAAGTGTAATTTTGTCCATCACTACCAGATATGTTGTTGACCATCGTAGACCCAAAGATACTTTTGAATTCAGCAGTGACCAAAGCTTCCCATGGGCCGTACCTTCTTAATGGCCTCCCTGAAGGCGTGCTTGGTGAGAGGGCCGGGCCCGTCCACTGTCTTCCCATCATCATCTGGCCCCCAGCTGGCGCTGTAGATGTCAATGTGGTTCGGCCTGACTCCCAAAGACTTGGCTTCCACCAAATCCGTCACATCCCCGTCCAGCATCCGAACACCTGGGAGTGGAAAATGCAGAAGCCAGAACGTCTAACCTAGCTACCGCCCTGGGACGTGGGGCCTTTAAAATGCTGGAACAGGAATGCAACATTTCGCTGTTAGCAATATTCAAGAGGCAAGGCGAGGAGCATTCTGCCATCTGTAGCTTATTACGAATCTATTTGTCAGACCAGGCTGATAGAATCCTGCGGATGTCTGCATCTGCACAGTGGCAATCTTGCCGGAAATCTAGCCAGGTGAAAAAAACACACACTGTTCTACAGGAAAGTTGGCCAAATTACAACCATTTACTCCCAGAGTCCATCTCGCGTTTCTCTCAAAATAGTTCACGTCAGGAAGAAATTTGTGATACACTGAAACAAACCTAATGAGGCATTGAGCAGCAGGCAGGTGCTCCGAATTCCTGGGCCGCCATCGAGGCGAGTGATTGCCTGTTCTGCTTGAGCATTTGAAACTGAGCCCGAATCAGAGCTCTGAAAGGCTGAGAGACTGACCAAAGCAGAGCTTGCGAGCTCGTGGGTATCAGGTGGGGCGTTCTGATCACGTAGCAGTCACTCAGAAAAGCAAATGCATTACTTTACAGCATCTTTCCTGCTGGGTTTTAACTAATTAAGTAAGTAATTCATTAAGCGGGAAATCCTGAAAATTAGTCCACCTGAATGCAGATTGTTTTGCATGTGTGGAAGAAAAAATTAAACAAATATATATGTAAGCTGTGGCACTCTTAGTATTCCGCATGCAGAGACCCTAAATCTAAACCACTGACAAGCATGACGTTGTCACCCAGGAACCTAGTCTTTTGTCTTTGTTTACTTCGGCTTCCCGCTGTTAAATCCTATAAGCATTGTATTGTGTAATATCTCATGTTCCCCACAACTCTAAAATTCCTGTAAAAACCCCACACAGACTGCCAGTCCCTGTTACACAATATGCATGCATATTGGGAAACATTCTCTGCATTTTTCAAGAGCCTAAAGACATCGTGAAAAAACCCAGGCTGCTTCTGCTCAGAATGAAGTCTGAGGCCCAGTGGTTAACACAGTACACATCTGCTGGATGTCAGGGACTGTACAAGAGGCAAATTCATCGAGAGAGAGATCAGTCCCTGTGCCCAACAGAGGGATCTGCAGGTTAACTGTTTCACATTGGCTCACAAAAACTCTGCAGCTATCCTGCACTGCACTCACATTCAAGGGCAGATATCAAAGGCACAGAGGGGAAATGTGATAAAAAAATTAAAAAAACACAAGATGCAGAATATCTTGAGCTCATTTAGAATGTTTCTATTTAACTCATATTAAACTTCACCAGACTGTGTATTCGGTAATAAAATGGTAAAAAAATAAAATAAATTACTGGCAATCATTTGGATATCCAACTGCCCTTGCAGTCTGTGAATGCCTAAAGCAATAAAAGAAGAGGAGTGCGATTCAATCTGCAGAGCTGTGCAGTCTGGACAGATCTCAGCCTGAACGCAGTCACAGCATGGATACAGGGATACTGAGGAGGTGGCGGCCGGTTCAAAGGTCAGACAGATGTGATCTTCGAGGCGGGGGAAGCACGAGGGACCTTCCCCCCATTTATGCAGGGCTTTGCAGAAGATCCCATTGGAACACGGCTGCATCAAGCCAAAGTCATTCCAGCTTTGGAGAGGAACAGGAAAGATTCCTTGTGGTCTCAAAGGCACAGCTGCGGACTGGAAAACCTCTGAGTAGACTGGGCATGCGCCACATGCACGGATTACCCCTTATCAGCAGAGTCCACCCACATCACGAATATGTACAGAGGAGCAGCGCCCTACCTCCGATACGAGCGTGGTACGCGATGCCCACAATGCAATGGGAGTTGTTGGCCACGGCTGCCACTTCGCCTGCGCAGCGGGTGCCGTGCCTAGGGGCGGGCAGAGAGGAAGATAGGGTTGGTGCCCATATCTGAGAGTCTGCCGCTCACATTTGATATCCCTGTATGTGTGATTGGGAGGGACAGAGAAGAAAAGTCGAGACCTACAGTCCTACAAGTCCAGGAGTCCTGGCATCCATAGTGCAGTCAGCCAAGCATAATTTGATTCTTCTATATAGAGGTCCCTTATCACATGTCAGAGCAGTGTTACTGCACAAATACCTCTGCTGCAAGAAAAATATACAGGACCTCATACTGCATCCTACATTTCACTGGCAAATCAGGGGAAGGGGCGTCTGATATCGCCATATGTCTGCTGAATGCGGAAATCCATAAAGTAGGGCCTACATAAAACGAATAGTCTGTTAAATAATAAACATATTGAAACACATTGACAGCTGCATTTAAGTTTTCTTATATATCATATCATACATTAAAAGACAGCAATAAATGATAAAATTACGAGCCTCCATTAAGAGGAAGACCAAACTGAACATTCTGTAGTCTCCTCTGGAGGGTCTGGTCCTGTCTGATGAGCGACTGCCTCCATTTTGCGTGGAGGTGCCTGCGTGGGGTGAGGTTTGGGCCTGATAACTGGCTCGAAGAAGGTACCCAGTCTCAGTTGTGTTTCGGAAGATTGTTGTGTATGGATGATAATCTCTCCGTATGCTCGCAAGTGCCATTTCCATAAGTGTCCTTAGCTTCCATGAAGCATCCGCTTTGCACATTAAAATAATTTTGCACATAATTTAAAGAAAAAACAAAAAACGTTTGCTTCTGGATATCTGACAGTTTGTTTCTCCACCAAACATTCCTCACAAACACCCATTACATCTGAAATCCTTTAAATCGCCATATGTTAAACTGTGGATTTACTGCAAATGGAATGAAACAGAGACCTACCAATAATAAATTAAGGTAGCCCGCTTGGTTTTAAAATGCAGTTTGGGCAATCGGATCATAAGTGGACAGCGCTAAAGACAAGTGAAAACAACCACCAAGATGAATTCTGATCTGATCACTCTAACCACTTGTCGGGGTGGTCCGGGATGCATTTGATAACATATCTTTTGTGGTGTAAATGTTAATTAGCCCGGAAGCATCTCCGAGAAGGCCATCACAATAACTGTGCGTGTGGACATTTGACCTTCTAGTGGAAGTGATGTAGGCAGTACCAAAACCTGAACACAACTGGACAGCTGGATACCTTAGAGATACATGACTGTGCAGATCTGTGCAGTGATGTGTCTCGGTTGTCCACTTGGGCTCCTATCGCCCAAGACGCATTTTAAAACCAAGTGTAAACAGGACTACTAGTAGAATAAGATCTAGGAGACCACCCCCCCCCCCAAGTCAAGAAAACCCCAGTTAAGCAACCCAACCATTCCATTAAGTGGCACCCACTTGTTCTCGTTGCTGGCGTCATAGCGTGGTGTGGGGTCGCGGTCGTTCCCGTTGATGTCATAACTGGCCAGTGGGTCCTGGATGGAATCGAGATAACTGGTGAGAGCCAAGCAGCCAACCTGCTGTGACTCCCAGAGTCAACCAGTTGAGTTGAAACAAAATCTTGGTCTGGATTTTTACTTTCTGGACATGAAATGTTCAGCCCTGGTGACTCCCCCACCCCTGAGGAGCTCCAAGCCACAAATAAGGTCCAGCCACCTATCATTCAGAGCCACATTCATCTACTGCAGCAAACCCAACCCCTCTAAAAGTTTACCTACTACAATTCAGTAAATTCATCCAGTATGCCATACAAAGGCCCAGCATGATCCCTGTTTATCTTCGGAGCCCAGGTTCGCAGTATAATTCACGTGACCATAGCCTCCATTATAAGTTCGACCAATACTTACATAATTTGCAGCGAGGTCAGGGTGATTTTTCTCAATGCCGTCATCCAGGATGGTGACCACCACGTTCTTGCCCGTGAAGCCTCTCCGCCATGCTCCCAGAATGTTCATCTCCGAGCTGCACTGGTGACTCGTATTTTCACATTGCTGTTGGTCAGCGAGAGCATAACCTTCTCACAAAACCCTGAATCAGCCTTGCAACAATAGTAATAATAATGGATGCATGGACAAATGGAGAGATCCAGGTTTTAATTGCCATCAGGTCAGAAGAACAAATGATGACGACAAGATCTCCTAGGACTGCACCATATAGAAAAAAATGTCAAAATTGCTGTGTGATTTTGTTGCAATAAATATTCGATATTTTCATCCATCCATTTCCTTAAACCGCTTATCCTGTTTAGGGTTGCTGGGGGTCCAGAGCCTATCCTGAAGGCTACGGGCACAAGGCAGGGAACAGGATGGGGCACCAACCCATCGCAGGGCACACTCACACACTCACTCCTACGGGCAATTTGGTAACTTCCACTAGCCTTAACATGTTTTTTGACTGCGGGGGGCAGAGTAACTGGAGGAAACCCCACGATGACACAGGGAGAACATACAAACTACACACACAAGGAACCCTGGCAGAGACTCGAACCCAGATCCCTCAGGTGCATAAAACGGCAAAGCTGAGTAAGTTTTGTTTCCGATGAGAGGGTGCAAATGTTTTGGCGAAACTTAAATCCCCCATGTTATAATGTCGAGACAATATGAAAGTATGTTTCAATATGAAGGATCTCAACCCAGCTATGACAATCCTTGCAAAGGGAGAACTGCAGGTGTATAACAGGCAATGTTGATATTAACATCGCACATTGCCCAGTCATATAATATACTACGGCCAGTTTAGCCAGTTTGGTACAAAACACCCTGCCTCACGCTGTGATGATTTCCTTTTGTGCTGGTACCAGTTTTTCAAACCAGTGGAAAATGATCACAAGAAGAACCATTGACTTTGGTACCAAAAATTTGGCACCTGGTGCAGTGGTAAAGTACCCTAAATTAACTGAACTGTTACCAAAGAGGGGTTTGGATCCTAAATCAAGAAGCTAAGGCTGCTCAGCTACCTGTACTTACAAAGTACCACATGTTGGGCCACTTAGGGTCATTAAAGGTGAAATAGTCTTGATCGCTCGCAGCATTCCTCTTCACTCGCTTCTTAATCACCTGTTGCTGAATCCAGTTGACCTGCAAAGAGATGTACAGTGCCCACTGCAATGGGAATCTTCACTACAGGCCAACAGAAACAATTGTTTCGTGTTACAGAAAACCACACTCATACGCAAGCTGAGTTTATCTAAGAAAAAAGGCTGGATATACTCTGACGTTTTCCACTTGCAGTAAAATGCACAATTATTAAATGCATTTTTGAATAAAAATCCTCTATCTATAAAAGTCCGTCTTCCAGCTGCTTAACCTGAGCAGTGTCACGGGGGCATGGAGCTGGTATGAGGTGGCAGAGGACAGACAGCAGGGGAAGAGCATGGAGAAGGCCAGTCAGCCACAGAGCGCACACAGTACAGGCAACTTAGAGACAGCAGTTACACTAACTGCACATATTCCAAAAGGAATCCGGATTACACAGCGGAAAACCAAGCGGCACAGAGTGAACAAATATATGAGCAAAGGTGAGATTTAAGGCATCAAACCTGGGTGGTTTGGCCTAGCAATCTATCAATACCCTATCAAACAAAACAAATGACAAAACCACACCCCCTCCCCGCGCCCCACCCCCATACAGAGAGGATAGAGATTTTACCTTCACATGAGCTCAGCACACATCAATAAGCTGCGGTACTGAGCTTTTCACTCTGCATTCTTTAAAGGCTCTTTACTGCAGCAATAGCACACAGGCAGCCTATGGCTGGGGACTAGCTGGACTCACCTTGGGGTTCATGCGGATAAAGGTGTGATCGCCCCTTGCAGTGAAGGCTGACCTTCTGACCACCTTGCTGTGATGAAAATGATAATAGTCCTTCAAGGCTCCTATCTGAAACATAAGCAGAAATGCACACAGGTAACAATAAGAGATCCGATTACCTCTGTGAGTGAGGTAAAAGTGTTTTAATTGACCTTCCCTCTTAAAAGCAACAAGTCAATCAATGCACCCTGGTCAAGAATTTGCCAAAGTTTGTTTTTTTTTTTCTAAGTGTCTGCATTGAAATATGTAGGTTTTGTTGTTCAAGCATTTTTATATGCACTGTAAACTCTATGAACCTCTTTCAAATTGACATCTTCAAGACAAAAATACATTGTAGCACTGGGCAGACTGAGGCATCGCGAGAGCAACAAAGAACGAGGACACTTGCTTGCCAAGAAGAACACACTCTTTTATTACAGTCTTCAACAGGACTATGACAGGGATCGGACAGGGTGCACAAAAGACATGGGCAAACATTCATGCCACAATCAGGAAATACAACTATTAACAACAGTACAACAAGGGCTATTTACAGTGCACAGACAGGGGCTATTTACAATTGCCCACAAGCATACTGGGATATACAAAGCTCGGCGCTACACTGTATTATTTTCTGCCCTTATTCACACAGTTTAACATACAGCTAAGCTCCCTAGAACACTGTTTCCCACCCCAGTCCTTGGGGACCCACAGACGGTCCATGTTTTTGCTCCCTCCTAGCTCCCAGTAAAAGTGGACTGTCTGGGGGTCTCCGAAGACCAAATTGGAAAATACTATCTCAGGTAAGTGTTCACACCCCTGAATTAGTACTCGGCAGAAGCAGCTTTTTCTTGAACTTTGGGTAGGTGTCCAACTGTACAGTGCACTAGATTTGGGATTTTTTCCCCATTCCTCTTTAAGACGCCATTCAGGCATCATCACATGTTGGTGAGACCGCTGGTGGGCTGCCCTCTTCATGGGGATTTTAAATCCTACTGAGGTCAGGGTTTTGCCCAGGCTGCTCCGGAATGTTTACCTGTTCTTTAGGCACTCCCCTCTCACTGTGGCACTGTGTTTTCGGTCACTGTGTGCAAAGGTTAACTTTTTTCCCCCCAGTTTCAGTATTCTGGCAAACAACTGCAGGTTCTCTTGAAGAATCAACCTTCATTTGGCACCATCCAGATTCCCATCTATCCTCACAAGTGCTCCAGTGTCTGATGCAGAGACACGCTCCCAGAAAAGAACGTTTACAGCAGGGATTGCGATCAGAGTGACATGCTGTTTTTGCCAGATGTGTTTTGCATTGACACTAAAAAAACACCTCATTCCATCAGGACACAAAACCTTTTACTACAAAGGTCCAAAACCCCTAGAATGTCTGACAAAAATTATTGCAGGACCCAGCTCCCAGCCAATCGGGAACACCGAATAGCTGGTACAGGTGCGCTGGGAGCTGGGAGGGAGCAAAAACGTGGACTGGCTGGGGTTCGCTGAGGACTGGGTTGAGAAACACTGATCTAGACACTGTCAGGGTGTATTTTATCTGTTTCTACATTTCTGTATTTCTACATTTATTTATTTATTTCTGTTTCTGTATGTTAACAAGTTGGGCGGGTCTAACCTCACTCAGTGCAGGATTGGTGGGATCATTTCGGTTGTACTATACTTTATATACCGGGTCAGAGGTGTGACGTCACGTCGTATTATTGGGCGATTTTGTTGTCGCGCTATGTACAGTTAGTTGTTTTTATTCGTCAGCTATTGGTGCTCCAGTTACAATATATAAAACGATATTCATCTTCTCTAATATTAAGTGCGGTACTGTCCCACATCATGTGCGCTGATTTTGCGGGAATTATTTACATTTATGCACAAATCGCGAGATTCCGCCACGAATGTCAGGCCATGCATTGTGGAAGAATGACCTCACCTCAGGGTCCACTATGATACCCCTGTCACTCTCCTGCAGCCTGTCTCTCTCACAAACACATCCTAACTTTCCGGAAAGAAACACAACCCACATAAAACAGCTAGGACTAGGAGATCTCCTCCTGCAGACACATAGAACTAAATACAGGGGATTTATTGAATCTCTTCTAAGCGATAAATGGGACTTTCTGCCAGCACTGTTTATAAACTAATTGATCCTGAGCTCTTGGTAACTGAATTTACGTTACTTGATGTTAGCACATATGAGTATGGCAAACATATCCCGGAGCGGGAGTTCAGACTAAACCATTTTAACGGAGGGAAGGGATTATCTACGTGTAAGCTGTCAGAAAAAAACTTTCAATTATGAGATTTATTTATCGTGTGTGTTGTTTTTGTGAACCATTTCTTTGTCACTCTTAGATCGACCATCTTTTGGCGATGGTATTCGGAATAACAGCAGCTACTGCTGTTATTCTGGGCTAATCAAACCCATTCATAAATAAATAAACGAACTCCAGACTCCTTCACCATTGTATAAATTTATCTGCCATCATTTTCATATTTCCTAATTTTGACTTTGTGCTTTAATCAAAATTTGATATTATCTTGTGCAATTATTGACAACGATAATATGATGTGATGTGTTTCCATGAAATTCAATTATAATTCAATAATTAATATGATACATTATTTGTCATTAGTACAAGTAGGCGTATAGTTCCATTGGAATGCTTCTCTTCCCATATCCCATGTTGGGGTCCTTTGAGGCACACACACACAGACACATACACACGTACAGGTGAGACGTAGCTTTGGGTCCGATTGCAGGGTCAGGCCATTTATCCGGCGCCCTGCAGCAACGTCATACTGTAGACACACCAGCACCGAATGGTAGTGCAGAGAATCTATATATAACCACAATATCTAACTTGTTTTGGTGTAAAAAATGACTAGAAGGATCGATGTAATGCATGAAGATTGAGTAGCGCCCCCCCCCTCCAAAAAAAACACCTCAACCGTTCGAAATTAATATTTTAAGGATACACATACATGCCCGCATGCACCGCACAATCACCGCCTTTCTAACAGAAATACACACGCGCACGTGTGCCTGAGACCGGTTACGTAATGAGCAAACTTTTAAGGGTAGAAGGTATTAATTACTTTAAAATTAGACATTGTCGATTAACAAAGTCCTTCATCAAAACAACGTACTATTTTTGTAAGTTTTTTTCTGGTTTTCTTCTTTATTATAACAAGTATTGTATCTCTCTAACAATAAATCGCTCAGAAAACACTGTTTTATTTGCTGCTCTTACAAAAACGAGACATTGAAACCTGAGCCAGTATCTCTTCTCGTAAATAATTTCTGGACTAACTGTCTGAACATTTGGCGATATGATTTGCGTTAAAGCGGACAGTCTCAGTTGTCGCTGCCAAAAAGTTTAACTTCTAGATAAATGAATTGTCTTACCTGACCCAAATTGTTATATCCATATTTTGAGGCAAGTTTATCTGCTTCTTCATGTCCCCCTGAAATCCGCAAAGCCCAGTGGTTTGTGTACACGTCTCGAAAAGGTAACGACTGGCAGACCAGAAAAGTTAAAAATAAAACTAATACACCCGAATACATACTGTTAGCCTACTATATTGGCCAAATAAGAGACCGTATTAATAGAGTCTTTATAATCAAATTATAAAATGGTTTTCAGAAGCAAAATATGTATTTTACATATAAGAAAATATCACGCAGTTTCTGAATTTTGTGTTTCTTGACATCTATATATATAGTACCCGTTTACTATTCGCGAAAAAACCGAAATACTGTACAAAACAGTAAAATGAACTGTAAAGTAATAGCCAGTGGCGACTCTCCCAATAAGACAACCAATAACAACCCGCAGCCCAACTCTGCATATACCAACTGGAAGTGCCTCGTAAAACCTTAGATTTCGTCATGGTTGTATGAAGCCGATCATTGCAAATCCAACTGCACCTATTGCGCACTTTGCAGAGTTTCATGATGATACTGCCAGCAGTGAGGGAGCAGGCAATGAATATCATACCTGTATTTAAATGCATTTTTCATGTCGCCTTTAAAGACGCGCATTTCTGTGAAGCCGAATATCCGAAGTCATACTGCTGTTATAATCAGGGTAAGAATTGCGAAGATAACGTCAATAAAAACTCCATTAGTGCAGCAGTTTGAGTCAAATAAATATATATTAATATGAAGCAATACACGTTTTGCCCGTGAATGCTTCGTGTCTATACAAATTCGAGCGTCTAGGTTATAAATCTCTACTGCAAGGTATGATATTTCGCAACGCAGAGCAACAAGAAGAGGATTCACATCTCTGGAATCTAATTTGTTTTAAGGTACCGTGTTTTGAGTGCGTATGAAAACAAATATACTCTTAAGTACCTTGAGCCAGCCAGCCTTCGACACCAGGTATGCTTCGTGCACAGGGCTAATATCACAGTCTGTAAAATGGGCTGCATGGGGCAGAATGCACCTCCACGCTCATTAAACTCACTGATGCCCTGCACCCTGCAAACCGGTCTGAAGATACAAAAGGCTGTAGAACATTCTTCTCGCGAATTTTCTTCACAGACACTATAGATGGCTCACTGTCAATGGCACGCAGTATAAAACGGCAGTTTGGAAAGAAGGAACTGGAAAATTTGTTTTTTTTTTTCTTTTTCCAGAATGTTGTATCCAACAGATGGGACTTGTTTGTGAATATAAGTAAAAGCAGTATGCTTGTCCACCATGACACTGAAATGATGATAGCATTTCGGAACATTTAAAAAAAGATTTACGTGATAATGCTGCCATCTGCCGCCACTAATGTCATATAACATCTCACTAAGGAAAGTACCGTTTATTCGCGGTAGCTACGAAGCACTCATCTTCTTAATGAAGCAGTACAGGGTCTCGGTCAGCCCGGTGTCTGTATAGGGAACACGATACAGGGGGGCGTCCTGCCAATCTCTTGCAAGGAATATGCGCACCAACAGTTAATATAAGACAGTAATTTCTTCAAACTACAGGACGGTGGGAAGAAGCCAAAGTGGAACATGGACATATACGCAAAAGAGACTCCGACTCGCTTCTCTAGAGGTGTGGGAGCCTCCTGTGTAAAGAGAGTGTTGTTCTTTTTAGTATATCTTCTTTAAACAAAATAAATACTGCTGTCAGTTATTCAGTCTGCAGATGTATAAAACAGATTTAATGTCATTAGTTCCCCGTCCCCGGTAATGAAAAACGGTTTGTACAGATTTGGTCTCATCAGCCGCTTCATGTAACCATTCTACCATCTTAAGTTTTATACCGTACTTTCATGAAGGAGCGTGTTATGTTCATGGGTGCACTATGGCACCTCTGGTGGCTGTAGCAGGCCATGGCGGAAGGACACTTTCAGGGGCCAACGAAGCTTTCCGACTCACACTTTTAATTAGCATGCATCAGATACAGTGCAGATCGGGTCACACAATCCTCATTCAGTAATGCTTGTGCATTTAACGTTTTGTTCCAGAAGGATTAGCTCTCGATGAAGTCGCTGCCAACTATTCAGCCAACCAGGGCAGCCGAAAGAGTTTGATGAAGCTAATGAACTTTACAGCTTAAATTCAAAATGGACGGGTTATGGCAGAGCTTTATTTAATGAAGAAGTTTGTATAGCAGCCAGCTAAACTAAACCTACACTCTCTATGTTCCTCATTATATATCAAGATTTTAGTTGTGAGCCTTAATTTGTGTGAAAATAGCTTCACTGCAAATTTGGCAGTGTGAATTTAAGTCTAGTTTCTACTGGAATACCTTTAAATCTGACCCTGTACTATCAAGGCTCCCACGTTAAGACCTTGCCCAAGTTATTTGTCTTCACGACTGACATGTAAACAAAAATAGACTGAAAACCTAAAGCTGAGAGCAATGTTTGCAGTTGCCATAGAAACAGTGGGAGCAAATGGACTGGCAGAATGAAAAAGGGGGCCGTCTAAACCCCAGCCGTGAGATAACAAGCGTGAGGGTTAAGGAGGGAAGCGACTTCAGACAGAAGTGGTTGTGGTGAAGGAGATGTGGTTGAAACAAGGTCTAATTCGGAAAAGCAGAAGGTCGACTATACAAAAATCAAGCAGCAATGCAGTGAAATACATTTTAGGGAATGAGTGCTCATCATACCAGCTATGCATGCTTTTAAAAAGTATTTCAGTGTTTTCATACCTCAGTCAAGTAGGCTGCTAGTTACACTGAACTGTTGTAAGCAGACATGCTGTATGGGAAAGCCTCATTACTCAGAAAACTATAAAAGTGAAATGCAACTTTATGCATTTGCCAATGACTGGGTGTACCACTTTCAATTTCCTGAATTCGATCTGTAATATTGGTGTGGCTCTTTATCGGGCTGTTTTGCTAGATGAAGCGAAATCAAACCCAGAAAAGTTTGTGTGTGTTTGCCTATTATTTTCTGGGAAGTGAAATGGCAGATAATTCAAGTTTTATGGCTGAACTGTAGAGGGTATGGGAGTATTTGCTGTTGTCACACTATAACGTGTTATTTTTCAGATGGGCGTCCTCTGTGTATTGTAATGGCTGTGTATTGTAATGGCTGTGTATTGTTTGCCCATTTATGTTTCCCAGTAATTAAGTTGTAGTAGCTTTGAGTAAGATTATACCTACCTGACCGTAGTGGTTCAAACCTAATAACAGATGACATATCAGATTAATCATAGAATGGAGATGTATGGTCAGGCTGTATACTGCAAGGGGCAGGACTCCTCTGGTGTGGCCTATTCAGGCATTTCCTTCGCAGCCCTAGTGGACTGGATAAAAGCCAGTGACAGAGAGGATGTCAACAACGTTGCTGAGGGCTACCTGCAGATGGTGCCTCTCCGCTCTGTGACAGGAAGCCCCGAGGCAGGCGCTCGCTTGGCGGCCGTGTGCATTTTTGTTTTCAGCGAAACCAGGAAGTTGACGTGCCACTGTGTGCTATCGAGCTGAAGCGAAGATGGCGGCCCCATTTCCCCGAAGCAGCCCGGCCCCAGCCTCTCTGATTGCAGATGCTCGGCGATCAGTCGCTCCCCAGGAAAAACAGTGCACTGAGTGAAACAGGGGCTCTGACAGAGACTGGCCAGTATCCAGTGATCAAGTGAGTGCAGATCTGAGTGCATAGAGTGATTAAACTCCATTTAACATACATTCATATTCCTGTCTAGGCTGTGCCCTGCCTTGTGCCCTGTGCTTCATAGGACAGGCTACCAGCTCACTGCATTTCTGCACTGGATAAGTGATTAAGGAAGATGGATGCATGTATGCATTCATATTTCCCAAACTTTGTTTACTGGGTTGGACACAAATATGCTGAATTCAGGAAACAGAATTAGCGATAAGTATCTTTTTCTGGCAGATTTTTCTCTCATCACGTCCTTCTACCCTATCTAGAACTACGTACACTAATGCACCAATATTGTGACATTCTGCAGATGAATGGGAGTAACACTGGTCTGTCTGCCCTCCAGTTCCTGGTGGAAAACTGCTGGAAAATCTGTGTCCAAACAGCAGGGTGTTTACAGGGTGACCTCACTGTTTAGCAGCAGCAGGATCTTGGCCACTATTCCTGCTCTAGTACCTCATCCATAAGCTCCAATATATGATCCACCCACTGTGTCTTAGCAAATAATCTAACCAACATGCATTTATATGAATCTACATAAAAAGAAACAATGCTTTTCAGTACCTGGATGTTCATGGGTACAGTTCTAGAGTACCATGCAAATGGGATCTTGACTCATCCCAATGTGTTCACATTTGCTTGTTGGCAAGCTCACGAGCTGCATGTCTTTGGAGCATCAGCAGCTGTAACATCTAGGAAGAGCATGCCACCCACAGGCAGACATGAGCTTGTACTAATCTCTATCTAGTGATGGACAAAATGGCGCCTGGTGTTCCATTTGCTGTATTTTCTGCCCACATTAGATGGCGCTCTTGGTTTGCTTTGGGTCATGCTTTGTTCCCTTTTTTGAACAAAGAGCACCATCTAGTGGGGTCAGAAAATACAGCGAATGGTTCATGAAGCATCATTTTGTCCATTGCTACCTTTGCCTTACAGCCAGGATGCAATGCTACCTATCGAGACTCCATAATTAAATTGTGGAAGCTTATTGAAATGATTGAAATGTTTACATAGAAATTTCCCCATTTCAATTATTCGTTTTTATTTATTTAGCAGATGTTTTGTCCAAACATGTAAGTGAGGTCAGGCAGCAGTTTCAGTTAACATCCCTTGAGTAGGCCCCTGCGATACTGTCACTCTGCCGACCACAGAACCATCATGGGCAGAGACTACTAACCAACACAGCTACACCCTGCCCCAAAAACTGCTCTTCATTCTCACAGAAGCTGAAATCTGCACCAAATGATAACTTTATTTAATTCTACCAACCAAATTTCCATATCCATTTAAATTGAACGGTTGTTCAATGAAGTACAGACCTGTGAAAAGTGTTTTGTTTCTTGCAGGATTGACAAAACGCTTCCAGAGGTGGAGAAATGAATGACGTTTCTAGTCATTTACAGGTCAGCGACTGTGCAGCTATGCCGGAAAAGGCTGTCAACAGCAAAACCAAACCTTTCATTATCTTTCTGTCACATATCTGCTAAGATGCAGGTGCATGGGTCAACAACATGGCAAATTCTGATGGACACTCTAATCAAAATGCAATTTTCACCGCAGACATATTTAAAAACATACCCTATGTCATACCCCGCTCATGCGACCTCATCTGCCCCATGTGGAATCCCCGTGTTTACCAGCTGTTTCTTGTTGCTGTTAATTAGTCCTATGTATTTCAGTCCACGTTCGAGTATGTTTCCCTTGCTCTGTCATTGGCGTTGCATGTGTCCAGTGTCCTGTGTAGGATTGATTCCTAATAAATCCCTCCATTCCCGATTCTCCGTCTCCCCGCTCCTGCTTCCCCGGTCCGCATTGTGATACCCTACATAGTAATTACCACAGACACAGTTGAGCCTTGCCCCAAACTTGTCTGTCTTTGTATGGACAGGTTGAGAATCCCTGTAAAGGTGCATGGATTACTACATAGAACCCACCACTGCCTTGTCACAGCATAGTCCCTCTGGGTTTAACAAATGATATTGAACCACAATGCAGTCATCCACTTGTAACCTTGACTATTATAGTTTGGTTAAACTATGACAAGGTCAGAGACACAGTGTGTCTACATCAGCTAGAGCAGTCTTTCCCAACCCTGTGCTCAGGGACCCACAGACAATCCATGTTTTTGCTCCCTGCCAGACAGTCCACATTTGTGCTCCCTCCCAGGTCCCTTCCGACAACAGGGAGGGAGAAAAAACATGGTTTGACTGCGGGTCCCTGAGGACCGGATTAGGAAACACTGAGCTAGAGTCACGCAATGAGAGAGTCAGGGGTGTTCATGTTGAGGACCACACCCTGGCAATTAGATACAAGGCTGATGTTGTAATTTATGTAGCTTAGCTGAATTTGAGGACAAATAACCAGGCTCGCAACATGGAAAAGACAAGATAAATAAACATGGACTTTAGAAAAACTCAGAGGACAGAACACGTACATCTGTACTGACCAGAGACAAATCAATGAAAAGAGTGGCCAGCCTTGAATTTATGGATGTCACTGAGGATTGTCCCTGGCCAACACGTCCTTCATTATAGGGAAAGTACAGCAACTACTCTACTACTTGAGGCGGTTGAGGAGAGCAAACGTATCAATGATACTCCTGGTCATCTTTTACAGGTATGTTACAGCGAGCCTTCTGCATCACAGCTTGCTGCACAAAGGCTGACCAGAGATCTCTAGAGCGAGTTATCAAGAGCCTGTGATCAGAAGGTCGCCAATTCGGCAGAATAGCCATATCTGTGGGAGTGTGGGCCCTTGAGTGAGGCCCTTAACCCCCAGCTCCATGGATGCCGCTGCAGGTGGCTGCCCTTCACTGCCAAGCTCCCTCTCACCTACAAGTGTGTCTGAGTGTCATAGAGAGTAAGATGGGGAAGGCAAAAAGAGAATTTCCCTGTGGGGATCAATAAAGTGTCATTATAATTATTATCAAGAAAACCCAGTGAATCACAGACCAGCATCATTAAAACCCCATTCTAACCCAGCAAACAACTGTTTGTCCTCCAACCATCCAACAGGTTCTACAGAATTATTGCACGTACAGGAGCAAGTTCAGAAATACAGTTGTTCCTTCTGTATCGTGATTTTCCCATTGTAGTTTCGATATATCGCAGGGTTGGCACAGGAAGTTAAATGGATTTTTTTGGGGAGTTTTTGAGAAAGCTGCAGTTGACACACACAAAGTTTAACAACTCATAAACGCATAAAATATATGTACAGTGCTGGTTTACAGGACACTCAGCGTATTTACAGCTGCTTTTATCTGTGATATCTGTGATCTTTGTATCTCTCGTTTCTCTTTCCGCTTCACTTCGCTCCGCTTGCATGCTCTGTGTCGGGTCGGGGGGCGGCAGTGAGCCCATAACAACATGCATGCCCCCCCGTGCCCCCACTAACCCCCCCCCCCCCCAAATATGCATGCTGCTTGCGTCTGAAATAAATGTATTGTTATAATAATTATTATTATTACTGTTATTATTGACGTTTATATATGTGGGATTAAATTGTGTGCCCTGGGAACTGGCGAAAGACAAACGTAAACTCGTTGACTAGACGGACTGTTAACGTGGGTGTGCCGAGTGGTCGAGGTGCTTCAGGTGGCAAAAAGCGAAGCTAACGACAGAAAAAATAATCAAGCCTGTGGAAGCAAGACAGTCTAAACAAGAAATCAGAGCGAGTTGTATATTTCTAAAAACCGTATAATGTAACAGCAAAGCCTTGCATAAATAATTTATCGGTTTCAAAATTGTTTTTTGCTTAATTCTTAATGCTGGCCATCTAGTGTAAGTAATACTCGGAGGACATTAAGGTCAAATGCATCTGCCCCCTCCCCAAACAACAACTGGCTCCACTCGCGTCCCCCCGGTTGAAATGGCCACTGCAGGAGAAACAAAGAAATGTACGTGGTTTTTCCTGGTTGAGTCGACTAGATTCTTCCTAAGTGTCATCTTGCAACTAAACCGTCAAAGAAGCATCCCACATAAGTGAGATAATTTACCTTCAGTTTATGTTGTCATTCGCCTTTTTCTTTTTTAAATAACAACACAAACTGAGTAGAACCCCAAATTGTTTCAGTAATGCATCTGTCATAACTGCTCGTCTAATACAACGGTCGCAGCCATCCTGGAGCACATGGCAGGAAACACAGGATACAAAGCAGAGGGTGAAATTTATGGGACCCCAGTCCATTGCAGGGCGCAAACTTTCATATTAAGGACAAATCAGAATCACTAATTAATTCAACCCACATGTTTTTGAACTGCAAAAGCAGAGTACCCGGAGGAAACCTGCATAATCACAGACATACTTACATGCAGAACTAGGCTACCAACTGAACCCATATATCCCTGATGGTGTGAAGTCACATTATTCTATAATATATATAAAATCCCCCATTCTGCGTGTAAAAAGCATAATGATAAAATGAGTTTAGGCTTGGTATTTCAGCGCGTTAATGTGGAATAGAGGAAAAACGGTAGGATTCACTGTTTCATGAGTCAAGGTATCATAATCTTATCGTCTCACCCGAAGATCTCATTACCTTATTTGTCATCGGTTCTTAGTGAATGATCGCACGCTTGCGTAGGAGACCAACAAAAAAACCCTGCAGGAAGTCGGCTAATGCAGCGGCGCTGCCAGTGCTATTTAAAGGACCGTACCACGCGCAGTTAATATAAACTGCAAAACAAAAAAATAAAAAAATTAATTAATTAATAAACAATTAATTTTACAAGATCAGTGACATATCGAGTATCATTTGTGCAAATATGCGTTCTTGACTCACACACTATAAAAAGATAGGCCTAGTAAATAATATATTTTCTTTTCCCCTTCACATAGCATCAAGACACATTATCACGCATTTAGAGTAGGCTGAATGCTTTTAGTTATGTTCTAATGAACGCGTGTGGTCTATTTAATCATTTTTATTTTATTAAAGTCCAGTATATGCATTAATACTAGATTAAAATCGGCTGCATCATGATCTCACCAATCCAAATAACATGCAATATGCATATATTTATACATATTGCATGTTATTTGGATTGGTGAGATCATGATGCAGCCGATTTTAATCTAGTATTGAATATTTAGGCTACAAAGGGAACTTGGCAGGAATAGGAACTTTGTCACGAATCAATTTTTAGCCTAATACATTTTATTTCTGTACACTGTTGAATAACAACTGCTTTAAACGTTTTAAATTATCCTAGGCTACATTTTATTGGTCGGTGGTTACTTTGTCTAGTGACAGAATCTAGTTTACGCTATTAGGTAAGATCCGACTTAGCCGATTAATTAAAGTGTCTTTAATACGGAAACAACACAACTAAAACTACAGGCGGCACCGATCTCCGCTTCTTCTCTCTGTGACGGGCTGCAGATCGCCTCAGCCTTTCCGGAAACCAAACTTTTTTTCAAACTTACTTCGTAGCACTGAGCGAAAAGAGGAAAACGGAGAGAAGACACTTGGTCCAACTTATGCAGTTCCGTTTATCATGAAAAGGCGCTTCGCGAACAGAAAAATAGCGCTTTTACGCGTTTTGTACTAAGATCGACCTGCTTGTTCCCGTATTGACATAGCGGATCTTCTCGTCTTCTTATCATGGAAGATGTGAGTATAAGTTTGAGAAATTTGCGGTCCATAGCGGGTACTCTTAACCGGACACTAAAACACATTATAGATAAATAGCTATTTACAAGCAAGGCTGCACTTTTCATTCTGCTCATTTGGACAGTAGTCGTTTTATGAATCAGTTTTCGTTAGTGAGACAAATCTTTAACCATCTGAAGGCTTTAAGTCGCAATTCTACAAGTTTTCCACTGCTGCTGGATGATGACGAAATGCTTTTCTGGCAGCATCCTCCGAGTCAGCCTTAGATTAAAGGAAAGCGGCAAATGGAAAAACACGGAAATTCGATTTAAAGAAATTATGGGATGATTTGGATGTGTTTTTGAATTACTTGATCTGAATCAAGTTGCAGTTTTAGTTATTACCGATTATATATTTAAATTTAAATTTTGTATGACACTAGATGGTTTATGTTTGACTTTGATGGAGCGGCTAGTTCACGGCACCTGTCAGCCTGGAAGCCTTGGCGACGCAGACTCTCCGGTAGATTCTCGGCTAGGTGCCCAGGTGACCCCGCGGCGCGCCCATGGCCGTGCAGAGACGCAGTTTGCAAAGCAAGGGAGAACTTTTCGTATTGCACCATCAACTTCCCTCCCTTTGCAGTAAATCAAACTGCATTGCAAATTAAAATATGCACTGGCAGTCGTGGCAAGTTTAGCACCATGCACAAAAAAAAGGTTTAGATTAAGGTCTGGCAGTTTTGTCTGTGGGTCATACTGCGTAACGGCATGAAGTTCTGAATGCCTTGTACGACAATACACTGCAGGGACGCAGTTATGTGCATTTGTGGAGATACCTTTCTGCCCTCATTCATTTTGAGGGGGAGTGTGATTCCGATCACTGATCATCCCTTATGAACAAATAAGTTTACGAATTGTGTTAAACTGATTGTTAAGTTACCCAATACGCAATCCTTAAATAATAAATTATACAAAAGTTGAGAAATAAAACAATAAGTATTGAACTGGTGCTTCTCCATCCAATTTCTCCATCCTGGTGAGTTGGTTACACCATTAATCCTTGTGAGGAAGGGCAGAGGCGCAGACTATAGAAGTAACAGCTGGGCTGGCAGATGTTACTTAGTTTGTTTCACATGTGGCGAAGGCTGAGGGGGAGACTGATCACTGTAAAAACTGTGTTAATGTTGGCTGCCTCAGCCTGGGCATCTATACCAGCGGTATACAGTATGGTGCCTACCTGTTTGAATGCGTGCATCTGTATTACAGCATCTCTCTCACCAACAAGAATTCAGCCCGGCACTTAATGTTTTTGTAACTGTATCTTACTTTGTGTTTGTTCAGTTTTCCTGCAGATCAATTATTCATAGCACCTACAAATCACAGGACATGGCTCCTGGGACACAGACGTTTATAAGTGTCATAAAATAGAAATTTCAACAGAGATCTTTAGTGTAGTGCCACAGTGGTGAGCAGAACCTCTCAGTTCTGTTATCAGGGTTGCATCATAACAGAATTATCTTTTGGACTGGACTACTCAGGCGGAACATTTAATTTCATTTCATTTTCCAATAGGCCAGCATAGAAGTTTAAAGTTTGGATGTTCAGGGTAAAGTTACGTCTGAACTATTTTTCAAAAGGTAGTACGCTATGACAATTTAAAGTGAATCCCTGACATTTCTTCACTAATGGAATTCATTAGTTTGCCAGGGATTTTGCATTTTGCGACACTTTCAGAAAAGACAAAATTGAAATGGTTGATTCGCACGTTGACTGGATTTCTGTCGATGAACTTTGTCAGCATGAATGGGTGTTAAATAGAATCTGTTAGGAAATGTATTGTTACATTAGGCTGTGGTGTTTTGCGGATTGTCATCTGTTCCCCCAGGCTGACTCTGGTCTGGCCCCCTCTTGCTCTCTCCGCCTGACCACCGCGCAGATTTTGCGTCCATACAGTAGGCATTTTAATGCGCGCTCTGCTATTTAAAACGGGTGATATTCAGTCTCACTGAAACTGCGATAGCCACATGCGAGAGCGTGCGTCGGCGTGATCCCTCGTCAGAGCTGTTGTGGGGGTGTTTTTTTAACAGGCATACATGGGTGTGGATCTGCAAAACCCTTGCGCCCCTCCCACTGCCGCCCGGCCAGTCCCCCCTCACCCTGGTGGGGCGCCACGCCCTTAGCGGAGACGCACGGCGCAGTTAGAGGTCATTGCGTAGAGGCTGTTAATTCAAGCCAGATGCAGGCCGCGGCCTTGATTCGGAACACATGTTGGGTAAGGTGTGTCCCGCCGAGGGCCACCCCGACCCACATCCTTTTTCTTCCATTTCAGCTGAGCGCTGGCCTGCCTATCAAAACAAAGTGCAGTTCTTTATTACAGTTTCATGAACAGACTGGGAGAACTATATTCATTAATACTTTTTTAAATCATTGTTATGCAGCAGTAATTAAGCATCACTGGAAATGTATCCAAATCATCATATTATTCCATTTCTGTTCTATTCCATTTCAGCCTCGCCTTGATTAAAAACAGCAAACAATTTAAGGTTAACAGAGAAACAAAGAAATACTAATTAATCAAAAACTGAATTCAAACCTGAAAATTCTCTTTCTATACATCCTCTGTTATCAGCTGCATTAACAAACATTCCTGGCAGTTTGTTAAGCAAGCAGACTTGATTCTGTCCAATTTACCATCTTCCCCCCAGTCCCAGGATGCACTCTGTTAGCCATCAGGCTAACTGAGCATCGTGCTAGCATCCCAGAATGCAACTGGTCTTATGAGGCTGCAAACAACTGCTTTAGTGTTGCTGCCACGGGTCTTCTGTGTTGTTCTCGCCCCATACCGGAAAGGAATTTAAACGCAACCAATGCCTCTCGCATCTCATCAGACCCTTGGCAGAGGGCTTTTGTGAGCTTCCCAGCTGTCATGTGACTGAAGGCCAGCAGGGCTGTCGAGTAGCTGAACTTGTCGGAGCTCCGCTCTGAATAGAAGTACAGATAGCCTGGATATGGGCGGTAGACACAGTGAAAGTGGAAAAACAACCAGCTGACCCGTACAAGGGCACCCAGTGGAATTTCCTTCTATAGTCCAGAGATTCTGGGCAATTGGCCAAGTGCTTAAAGGTATGTGAGCTAGTCGTCAGTAGCGGAGGAGCTGGAAGGGTTGATTCGTGTCACGTAATGCCTCCGTATATCTCGCACGGATCACCCGTCATGTATCTTTGGGCCCCACCTTTTCTTCCTAGTTCTGCTCAGTGTCTCCTGCTCCTTCTGCGAGCTCCGCCGCTCCCCACCTTTTCTCCTCTCTCCTAGACATCCGGTTTTCTCCCGGCTTTCGGTGTGATGTACAGGCTGGGAGGTTTGTAATATGCATGCGCTCTGCACTCCTCCATAGCACACGAGGCCCTGAGCTTAACTTCACGAGGTGACCTCATCTTCCACAGTCTGCTCGCATGCGCTGTGAACACGTCCTTCTCCCTGCCAGCTGTATTCACTTTAATGGACTTATTAATTCAGTTTTATTTTTTAAATTTCATAAATTGTATTAAATTTTATTAAACACAGCTTTCCTTTGATACTAGGCAATCAAAATCTTTATTTAATTGCAGTTTTTTCTTGTCTATTAATGTTCGTAAATGTTACTTTTTGGTGTCCATTTTATAATATAGATGAATTCTGGAATTAAAGGGTTAAATTGTTTGAAAATGTCATTATCGTTATAACTGTTTCGTTATTTTCTTCCGAATTTAATGATCATCAAATTACTTTTGAGTTGGCCCAGGTCATGGAAAAAAAGGATTCTGTTTTCATTACTAATGCTTTACATGACAGAATAACTAACAGTGATGAATATATCAGGTAGAACAAGCATCTCAGTGCCACTAAAGGCATTTCTGGGGTAAGTGCCACTGACGCATGCTGAGTCTGCGGGTCTGACTCCTCGGGGGTCTGCATCGGTGTCGTCAGCGTTCCCATGGAGAGTGGGTCAGAAACAGTCAGTCACCGTGTCTGCTTACGATTGCTCTGTCTTATTGTTCACCTCTGTGTGGCAGGGTGTGAAAGACGGAAAGGCCCAGCCCGCAGAAACCGCGTCCGTTAGCAAGGCCGGCTGGTTGAAGAAGTGTTCTGGAAGATTCCTGGGAAGCTACAAGGACCGCTATATCTCAGTGGAGAGGACAGAGATAGTGGTGTATGAGAATGAGGTAAATATTCACAACAACAGGCCAGAAAGCGTAGTGTTAGGCAGGATGCATGTTTAACTGTGGTATGCAAAATGCCCTGCAATATTGTGTAAGACTCCAAAATGGTTCTCAGTGTCTTGGGAACCTGCAAAAGCTCATTATGTTCATTACTCAGTTCTAGCATGTTTCAGTTGGGTTTTTTCCTGTATGATGTAATGCTTGAATTCTCAGCCATTTTAGCCATACGTTATGCTCTACTTAGAGTCTTTGAAGATTGTTCTATTTGTAATTTGAGGTAATCTTTACCATGACTGCACGTGAACATTAATAACTTAATTTTAAAGTAGGTAGCCCACAGAGTGGGATTTGATCCTATAACCCTAAGCCTTTTGATCCCTTTTCCTTGTAGGATTTGGAGAAATGCATTGAACGGGTGGACTTGGAAAAGTATGACAAATGTTGTGCATCCAGAGGTGCTTTCCAGAAGAAAAACCGGCTGCTCTTGATACCGGCTCCTAAAAGTAAGGTAGGTAGATGCCCACAACGCCTCTGTGATGATGACTGTAGCTGATCGACGGGGCTGCAGCCTTCAGCTGCATTTTCTCAAGCATCTACAGATGTGCTTGCCTGTGGAAATGCGGCAGCTTGCAGTCCTCCTCCAGTGAATTTCGACAGCGGCTAATTGCTTCATCACATCTCACCGCCGTCTTAAGATTCGAGGTTCAGAAATGACAAGCAGGCGGGCTCTTCTGGCAGTGTTACCAGAGTGCAGTGAGCACAAATGTCAATTACCAGCACTCTGCTATCACAGGTTAAATGCAGTCAAATAGTGGGTGTTACGTAGGTCTGAAATCCATCACTTTTTAGACGCACAGTGTCCGAATGCTTAGGTTTATGTTCATTACGACACATTTTAGAGGAAGGCCAAAAGGAAAGTCTTTTGCCATCACCCCTGGGTTTCACACACTCACAGTGTCACAATACAAATCACTCATAGTCTTTTCTCTTTGCTATTATTGCTTAGCTCTTCCTGAAGAGTAAACAACCTTCCTGTCGACAAGGTGAAAGATACCACGTGCTGACTTTCATGTCAATTAACATTACTACCCAACCGCATGATTATGCTACATTGGTTCCTTAAAGCTTTTTACCATGAGTTCATGCTGGCTTCTCTGTAAATCAGATAGTCCTCTTCTGACAGCTGTGGAGCACGTGCACCAGCTACAGAGAGACAAAACGTCTCACACACTGCACAGGAATTAGATGCAGGCTGCCTGGATACGTCGCCACTAAAACTATAAACCGAAAAACCTAAACACACCCAGGAATTCATTGAAGCCAGATGGGAAATGCTGATTCTGCTGCAAGTCAAGGAGTGTAAGCTTCTTTTAACCAAACACATACGTATCGTCAAGCTACTCTAGTCAGATGCTAGACACACAACCCTTTTTGCAACAAAGAGATCATTCCTGTGTAAATGTATTACAGGATATACAGTTTGTTGATTTAATATCCTATTGTATCCTGGGGATGCCCTTGCTGGATAATGTTGTCGATCTTCAAAGAGTTTTGCATGGTTGGCAGCCTGCATATCAGGAAATTATTAGGTTTTCTAGAATTAAATTTTTTTGAGTTATTCAGTTTTGTTTATAATTGTGTCTACTGGTACTTTACAAATCATAGTATTTTTCTGAAATAATAAAAAATATAATTTATTAGGTGTAATAAACATGGCTATGTAATGTGGAAGATGAATGAATTGATTATAAAAGTGTGATATCAGGATCTGAACAGCTCTGGTTTAAACCTTTATCAGCCTGTGTGTGGTGTATATCTTTGCTGATAGTAACTGAGAAGTAGTGAGGGGTAAATCACCATTTAAGGAAGGAGTACAGAGGAGTAAATCTGCATTTAAGGAAGGAATACCCATGAGTGAATCAGCATTTAAGGAAGGAGTACCGAGGGGTGAATCAGCATTTAAGGAAGGAGTACAGAGGAGTAAATCAGCATTTAAGGAAGGAGTACCCATGGGTGAATCCCCATTTAAGGAATGAGTACAGAGGAGTAAATCAGCTTTTAAGAAAGGAGTACAGAGGAGTAAATCTGCATTTAAGGAAAGAGTACCCAGGGATGAATCAGCATTTAAGGAAGGAGTACAGAGGTGTAAATCTGCATTTAAGGAAGGCGTACCGAGGGGTTAATTAGCATTTAAGGAAGGAGTACCAAGGAGTAGATCAGCATTGGGATTGTCCTTGCTGCATTATTTCCCCAAGAATAATGAGTAGGATTACACTGGGCCGGTCAGCAGCTTAGAGTTCTGCTTCCATTGTCTCCGTGGACACAGCAGGATGTCTCACTAAGTCTGTCTGTCTGTCTGTCTCTCTCTCTCTCTCTCTCTCTCTCTCTCCTACATAATTTTACAGGTCCATGAAGTCAAGCTTCAGGTGACTGATCCTGGTCAGAAGGATGCCTGGCTCACGGCTATTAGCGATGCAATCAACAGGGCAAAAAACAAAATTTTTGATGAGGTATTTATTTGTTTTACATGTTTGTTTTTAAATGTGTGGGCAGATACAAACTCCAAAGAGCCTCAGGCAGAATTACGCCCCCCCCGAAGGTGTGAGGCTATAGTATGGTTCACTCAGCCACTGTACTGCATCACTCTTGCTACTCCGGTTTTCTCCCAGTGTTCGAAAAATGTAGTTAAGTTAATCAGGGTCTCAAAATCATCTTGAATGTGTGTGAATGTATGTGTGAGTATGGGTGCCCTGTAATCCACTATAATCACATCCATGTTGATGTAGAGGATGGTGGATGTGCATCCAAGTCTGCGGCATTGTTCATGCCTGCCAAATTCACCCAGTTTCCTTTAGTGACAATTTCATGTTTTTTTCAGTCAGCTCCTGGGAAAATATTTCTAAGGAAATATTTCTTGTTTAATTCCTTAGGTAAAAGTTGATGAAAGCTGTTCTTTGGAACATGTGACACGCACGAGACCCAAAGGGAATCGGAGTCGAAGACCACCCACTAGGATTCACATGAAGGAGGTTCGTATGACTATTTCATGAAAATATTACATCACTGCTTCCAGTAAAAGTGTCTCACTCTTTAGGCTAGAGCCCTGAGGTCCAGCATGAAATGTTTGTTGTCTGACATTAGCTGTTCTCCTTTAGGCTGGTAACACTTCATCAGATGGGATTCTCAGACTGGATCTGGATCTTGATGCTGTGGACACTATGCCCAATGGATCATGTGAGGTCAAAGCCGAGACAGAGGCTCCTAAAGAGGTCATCAAGCCACCAATGCCACCAAGCAAACCCAGTGAGGATGCCCCGCAGAACTCCGGCGAGGAAGAGGGTCCACAGAAGTCGGCTATTAAACCCCCAATGCCTCCCTCAACTGACAGCAAACCCAAGGAGGCTCCGCCCCAGAGCTCGAGTGAGGAAGACAGTCCACAGAAGTCTATTAAACCCCCAATGCCTCCCTCAAGTGACAGCAAACCCATTGCTTCACCTATCAAGGAGCCTGCAGATGATAATTGCAGTAGTGAGATAGAGTGTGTTCCTAGTTCCTCGCTTGCTGACGTGACCAGCACATCCTCAGAAAAAGCAGAAAGTGACAAGACGCCTTCTGCTGTCGATCCATCACCATCCAGCAAGGACCTGCAACCTCCTATGCTACCATCTAAGGACAAGAAGCCCATTTTAAAACCAGAAGATGCAGTTCCGGAACAGCCTTTGTCTATGGAAGACAACAAGGCCGAAAGGCCTGTGGAGCCAACATCAGAGGATCATCCAAGCACATCCCCAGAGGAAGCAGCATCTGGAAAGGACACCACTTCCAGTGCTGAAGCAACTGTAACGCCCTCAAAGGAAGTCTCCTGTGCAGCTGACAAGGAAGATTTAGTTCCAGCTGCCATAGAACCAGAGCCTACCAATTTAACTGCAATTTCTATGGAAAAACAGGAACTTGTTACAAGCAGCAGTGTCATAAAAGAAGAGGATGAACCAAAGGTAACTGACCTGGAACCTTGTGTGTCCAACACAAAACCCCCAGAACAAATTCCTGAACGTGTCAAAAAGGGTCCTGCCCCCCCTGCTCCTCCCAAAAAGAAACCAGTGAAGCCCCCGCATGTCATTGCTGGACAGTGTAACGTCAAAGCCAGTCCTGCCAATGTTCCATCTGTGGAGAGTGGAAATCAGACTGTGATTACACACGTTGAAACAGTTTCTATGGAAACCAACCTTGAGCCGGTCAGCCATTCCACGGATACTAATAGCGTGATTCTACCAACTATTTCAAGCATGGAAGCGGAGAATGTGTCCGTAAGCATTAAAAGTACGGTTCCAGATGGTGAGATCGTTCCCTCAACAATAATCCTTGCCGAGTCAAAAGAAGACCCACCAAAAGCAGATGATGAGGTATCCCTCGAGCCCAAGAAGGATGGTGTGCTGATAGTCCTCACTAGCTATGATTCAGGGGGGAACTTAAATCTGTCCATGGAACAAATCGATCGAGATGAGATGAGGTCAAGCGACAGTGGCCAACACTCTGATGAAGAAATGGAAAGTGGTGACAACATCAGAGCTTCTACTATAGCTCTGAGTGGTAGTCGGACTCGCTTGGATGAGGAGATCTGTGAAGACGGCACAGATTCCATGGACAACCACGGCCCACTCTCTCTGTCAGGAAATGCTGAGAACCTGCATGACATAATGAAAGGAGCATTGATTCCTGAGCTTAGCGAAACCTTCTCCCCTGTGTTCATACCTTTTGTGACAAGAAAGTGCCTATCTGTGGGAGACCTGCTGTCCACCAGCCAGCCAGGGCCACAACCATCTGTGAGAAGTGATGCTCATGAGCTGCAAGGCAAAGCGTTCCCAGACCCGATTTACACAGGGGAGCCCTTTGACAAAGGGAAGGGACAAATGAGCACCACAGCCTTAAATCCAGCGGAACAGGAGCAGCTGCATGAAGCTTTGAAGAGACACCAAAAAGCCAGAATCATGAAAGTTCACACAACTAAGCGACAGAGTTGGTAGCTGGATCAAAATGACAACATGGAATTTCTACAGTGTCATATCCCTCTGCCTCTTTCACAAATGGAGACAACAATGAGATCATCCAAAACAACCTAGTTACCTCGACCCAAATTACATATGCAAGAGTTCTTATCAGGATTACGTACAATTAATTCCACTCATGATTACTTTGAATGAAACAGACAAATTACTTTCAAAGTTACTTGGACATTGCAGTTAGACTGAGAGGTATGATGGGTTAGACATTTCATGTAAGTAAAGAGAATTTACTGCTCAGGTGAAGGGATAAACCTGCAATTTGTTGCGCACATTGTAAGTTTATTATAATGTATGCAAGTGTATTATGTATATATACACGATTTATACACAATTTAATGTTTAATTAAATATTACAGTATTTTAATGGTAAGAGACATGATGATGTCCGGTCTACTGTTCTGTTGTGTTGAAACGAAGACACTCCAGGAAATCTGCAGGCAACCAAGGCTCTTCTGTAGACCACTGTCGACCATCAAATCGATTGTTGTAAATAAACATGACAGAAATAGCAGTGTGTAATTCAACGATTTGAACTGTAAAATGAAAGCGTCTAAGGTTAGATGCTCATCGTGGAAGCTCTGCTCAAAAAACAGGCACAGGGGCACATCATAATTATTTTAAGTGGTGTACAGTTTCGCACTTGGGAGTATATTTTTGGAGCTGTTAGAGTTTGAGTCCCTTTCTAAAGCAACTGCATGATTGTGCAAAGTCACGCGTGTAGCATGAATCACTTTAAACCTCACTGTGCTTGTGAAAAGAAGCCCCCCTCCAGGACTGACAGCATATCTGACGCTGATGGTGTCCTGATGACTGTTACTCACCATTTGCTCACCTTTTATTTGTAGAATTACAAATAACTTGCAGCTTAGCAACCACACTTATGCAGTGTATAAATAGTGCACAGGAACTGCACATTTCCTGAGTGCTACACAGCACTGATCTCTCCTTTTACTAGGACAAAAAAGGGGAACTGATCCTTCTACATGGTGTCATGCTGCTGACTGTTAGTTAAGAAGGTTTAAGGCTGTTGCTGGCTTTGTGGCAGATGGTTCGAAGCTCGTTTGCCCCCCACCACGGAAACAGTACTTTCCCATGTGCGCCATGTGTAGTGAAATAGTGTTTCTGTCAGACTGTCACGTTCGTAAATTGTTTTTAAAGCATGACATACTGTACAGGGTCGCCAACGTTGGTCAGCTGGCGGGGCGTGAGATTTTCAGTTTGAGACAAGAATGCAGACACATACGTACACATTTATATGCGTGTGAAATAATTAACAGTTTTATTGCCTTGTAACTTGTAAATAGTCTGTAGGGTTTGCAAACTACCCCAGAGCTTTTAATGTAACTAATTTTAAGTTTATGATGGGATAATAAAGATTTGCTGTAAGATTTCTTGCGTGAGTGTGAGAGGCTGAAAGCACGAGTGTCACGGCAGATGCGTGAGAGTTGGCAGCCCTGGGTACAACATGTGAAATGGTGCATTACACCTGCTTAACTTTTTTTAAATAATGTTGTCTGGTGAAAGTGCAGATAATCCAGACAGCCAGAAGGAGCAGAAATATATTCAAAATACAAACCAAATGTTGTCTTACTGAGGGCTACTGAAAACCAGCCATTTCTACAAAGTCGTTAACTTATCCAGTTACCTGGCAGTGAATCTGGGACATGAAGGCTTTTATTTCAGGTGTTAGCTGTCATTTCAGGTATTAGCTTTGTTTTAGTAAGGGCATGGTGCCTAAGTGAGTCCGGCAATAACCTCTTCCGAACAGACCTTACAAAATCACTGTTGTCAAAGTTACATTTCTCTAACTGAAAATGAAAATGTTAGCTGTACTATCGAAATATATTACATGGTTAAAAGAGTAATTATGAACGAGATGTAATGCCCTTTATTATTTTGCGTAGAAAGTTTTTAAAAATATGCTATGTAAATGGGTTTTAAATAAAGCGCCTTATTCATGCAGCAATGTATGTTGTAATTAATTAAAATAATTTTAATGACAGCAAACCTAGAATTGCATTTTGTTCCTTCATTTAGGAATCACTGATTACTCTTGGACTGTAAACCTTGATTGACTAATAATACCGTCTGGCCCAGATTCCAGTAGCTTTTCTGGATAATCAGCAAGTAGCAAATATATTTTTAACTACAACTTATCCAGTATCAGGTTATTTATGAGTGTCAGGGTTTTCTTTTCTATAGTTGTTCCTTTTTTTCATTTTTTGGTATGCCACCCCAGTCAGCGGTCTCCCTTAATCTCACAAATTGACACTATAGTCCTTATGTGAGTTTCAAGCTCCGAAGTTTTATTTGTCACTTTATTTGTCACATACATAATTATACTGAGTTCAATGTGCAAACGCATATTCCTGTAGCCCCAGACTGTGGGGAAGGAAAAAAAAGGACATTAATAGACATAGACATGATGTATTACAAACATTAAATAGTAATCATAAATATCTATGGAATGCAAATCTGGCAGTAAGCTGAGGTAGTGGGAGAGTCCAGGAATAAGTATTTGTATATGTCTTTGTGGTTTAAGTAGGGTGTGACAATGTCGGTGTGTGGGACCTAAACACTGTCCTCATTTAGGATCCGTCTTGGCTCTGGAGAGAAGCTCCTCTTCAGCCTTTCTGAGCTGGCTTCCAGGCACAGACGAGAGGCCATTTCTGCAGTGACTGGGGTCCATAATAATGTCCACGGCCCTGCACCTGCATCGGCTGATGTAAATGTTCGGGAGGTTGGGGAAAGCATGTTGTATGCGCGTGTATCTGACCACGCAACCCTCTGCAGAGCCTGGCAGTACTGCTGTGTGCTGTCCCTCTACCAGGCAGTCAGCGTAGAAAATCTTTGCAGCCTGAATCCCTGAGACGCCTGAGGTTGTACAGATATTGGTGAGCCTTCCTCACTAAGGTCTCAGCGTGTAGGTCCTCGGGTATGTGAACACCGAGGTACCTGACGCCCACCCGAGCCAGTACAGAGGTGGTTCTCAATCCGGTTCCTGGAGTATCCCCTGCCAGAATGTTTTCATTCTTAATCAGCTTCCTGTGGTCTGAAATAGGGTAATAATGAATATGGCAGGTTGACAGCAGTGTGGGTTGGAAGGAAGACATTGATGCTGATGTGGTGGCAGTCGCTCTGCTTCTTCCACATAAAGTTCACTATCAGCTCCTTTGTCTTATTTACATCGAGGTGGAGGCTATTGTTTTGTAACCAAACTGACAGCTTCTTCACCTCCATCAGGAAGGCCTGCTTGTTCTGATTGCTAAGATATTTAGCTAGATGCTTATTACTATTGTGTATTAACTTGACAGTGATTTTGTAGTTAAATGTGAACATGCATTCATAGGTATACAGGGAATACAACAGAGGTCTCAGGCCACAGCCGTGAGGTACCCCTCAACGTCGTACTACCTGGAGTCATCAAAAAGTTGTGCACCCAGTCACTCAAGAAAACATTCAGTGAAAGGACATTCAGCTTACCCCCGAGCCTGGACGGATTTATGGTGTTGAATACTGAACCGGTTATGGATGAGCAGCATCCTCACATAGTTCTCTCTCTTGTTGTCTAGATGGGCCGGAACTGTAGGACACTGTTTCCAAACATGGTCTTTGGGGACCCACAGATGGTCCATAATTTTTGCTTCCTCCCAGCTCTTGTGGACCATCTGTGGGTCCCCGAGGACCGGGTTGGGAAACACTGCTATATGAAGTAAGAAAATGATGGCATCATTGGTGGATCAATACGGTTGGTATGCGAATTGTCCTGGGTTCAGTGCTTTGGGCAATGAAGTACATATGAGAATCTCATCAGCCTCTTTAAGAACTAAAAATCTAAAGAAGTGAAATTCAAGCAGGAAGGGTTGAATTTCCCATCATGTATATATTACATTGTGGGTACAGCCCCACATTGTGATGCAAACCTTTTATTCTGACCCTGTGGGGACATGTTTTGGACCCCACAAGGGGAATCTCAGTTTTATAAAAAATCTGTGAATGACAAAAATGACAAATTTTATTTGGTTACTTGTGGTTAAGATTAGGGTTGGGTGGGGGTTAAGGTTATTGCAGGGATTAGGATTATGTCCATAGAAATAAATGGAGTGTCTCCACAAAGATATAGATACCTAATCTGTGTGTGTGTGTGTGTGTGTGTGAGATCGGTGAAAAGTACAGAATAATGAATTTAGTGTCCATTTACTAAATACTGTATGAAGCAGTAATGTGTCACTAAAATGACATCCCATGGCTGTCCGCTGCCGTGCCTATCGGTTTGGAAGCCCGTGCCTCGGAGGCTTCGGCCCTGCCGTGTTGGCACCGGTGGTTCTGGGCTCACCAGCATTCACAGTGAGCGATACGGTACGATAAAACAGTTGTGCCTGACAGCTATGCATCTGCATGGTTAGATCAATCTGAGGAAACGTACTGTTGAGAGGCAAATAGATTTTTCTTACTCTTTGTTCATTTGGTCTTAGCAATGTCATTTAAAAACTGATTAAATAATGTGTAGTTCAGTCTGTAGTGTGATTTTGTCACCAAGGGAATTGTTATGGGACTGGCCCACCTGATTTTCTGCTGGCCTGCCCTCTCTATGACTTCTGGCTCCGCTATTGGTTAGCACTCTTTGTCTGTGCTTGGAATGGCAAACACAAGGCCCTCAACCCACAATTGCTTCCTGAGCACTGGCTTGCTCTACTCTCTGACCCTCATTTGCCACTTTGCACAAAGGCGTCTATTATGCTGCCATCTTTATCACCTGCTATCTTTATGTTGCTAAAAAGAGCTAGGCGGCATTGGCCAACAGCAAAACACTGATGCAACAAAATAGGTTGGGGGGAACTGTATCAGACATTTTATTAAGGGGAGAGTAGTGACTCACAGCTGTGAGTTACCACAGTCTCAGCATACAGTTGACCTTGCTGGAAGAGGGATAGGTCTTTTTGTCCATATTTGGCCACCGTAAGAATGAGGTCAACAGTGAGGAAGCCAGCAAATGGCCCCAAAGTTGCGCAAGGAGTGCAAATAACTGGAAAATAAAAAGTCGGTAGACTTAAGGTCAAAGGTCACCATAGATGTTTGCACCCTGTTGAGACCATGTATAAATGTCTGCGTGTATGCAGCCAGCTCCCAGATACAGACACATGCACAGGTCGTAACAGTCAGCTGACTGGCTTTTATCAGAGCAAGAGCAACTACAAAGCTGTATGTGTTGTCCATTTTCTTTCAGTATGTGCTAGTACCTCTCCCTTCATCCATTGAAAAGTCAACATAGCTAATAATGACCCTGACTGAGAACTGACATGGCATCGGGGGTAAGATTAACAACCGATGAAAGAGGCGTGCAGTTGAACCCCTTGTGGCGAGCGCTGTGGGTAAAGGTTTACTGGACTTTTTACGTTTGCGTTGGTTTGCTTCGGGTACAGCAGTTTCCTCCCACAGGGCTGTACATTTACTGGCTTTCTCTCTCTACGTTACCCAGTGCTGTGCATTCCTGGTAATGGACTAGCATTGCGTGTGGTGGGCGCTGCTTCCCAAAACAGGCTTCAATCTCACCGTGACCTTGCATTGTACAAGCAGTTAAGAAATGGATGGATGATACACAGGGCCTGTGTTTATTTCCCTGTGAAAAAGGCAAAAGATGGTGCATTGAAGTACTGAGTACTAAGTACAAAGCACCAGAATAAGGTGACACACTGTGGTGGTTTCTGAACAGCTGCCCCGGTACAGACTGCACCTTGTGACATCATGATGACAATCATGCACCGGATGGCGTGCTTTCACTTTCAGGATGATGGTGACAAGCCCCCATAGTGATGCAGCATGGGACACTGCAACAAGCCAACCTAATGGACCCAGCCTGAGTCAGCTGGCATTTCAGGACATCTAGCTGATGGTCCTTCATAAATGTATGAACATCCTACACCACAGTTTTCACCAGGTATTTAACCTCTTATTTCATGCAATTCATTTCTAGGTTTTTTGGCACCCAAAATAGCAAACGCAGAAGTGGCTATGTGCCCCAACAGAGAATGCTGCTTCTTCACTTTTTAGTCTGCACTGAGTTATTTTTGGCACAAGTACCATTTTTTCCACTTGACTCGTAGGCAGTGAAACTAGTCAGTACAGATATTTAGCTGACATAAGTGCCTATCTTGCTAACCTGATAAATAGCTCACATGCTCCCTCTGATGGACATTTCAAAATATTACATGGTGCATATTTAAACTTGAAAATTACACCACCGTTGTACATTTTAAATATATATAGTCAAAAAGCATTACGCAGATTTTATATTTTGATTTCATTCCAGCTTTAAAAGTAGAATACAAATACATCTCATTTGGCACAATTGTGTTTTTTTTCTTTTAAATTGTGGAATTGCTTTCATAGTAATCCAATGTTCTCTCTAGAAAATTAATTTCCATTCCTGGACAATCTGTGTCCAAAACGCAGACTGTTCCCCTAGCGTACGCTGGTACAATGTTCACTTATGAACATGCCAATGTTTAGACAAGATGTGTGCAATCGATGGCTTGCACAGAAATCAATAAATAATATCAGTTCACCACTTGGGTTTAAGTCTTCCAGTTAATGCGTCGCCATGTACTTCCCCTATTCCCCAGATATGTGTTGAAATCTCCCAGCAGCACCACAAAGTACACAGACAGGACCCTTTCACACATCCCGCCCATTTTAAGAAGGCTGCGTCCCGGCAGACACATAAACCACAGATATGGATCCCCTCTCTGCAGCTTGCAGTTGCATTGAGGCAGCCAGTGGGAACAGCTGCAGCTGCCCAGTGCTCAGCCTGAGGCCTTTCCTGGGAGGGGCCAAGATGTCTGGATCCAGGGCCCCCACTGTGCCTGCAGGGAAAGCCAATGAAATCTAGCTGATACCTCCCTCCCTGCTAGCTCAGGTTCCTTCCCACCAGAGAGGCAACGGCCCACATTCCCTAAGCCAGTGTCCCAAATAGCACTGCACCTTATTCCCCCCCCACCTGGAAAAAAATCCTTTATGGTAAAAATACAAATAAAATGGCGGACCTATTGTAGAAATAATGCTTAGATGGCAAAGTGGATTTTGACAGCCTAGGGTAAACCCGGCATTCTGGATAAGGCCGGTGGGGCTCGATGCAGTGCCTGCAGAATACAGCAGAGGGAGCTGTTGGGAATACAAATTCACTTCATACATCTAATAGTAGCAGGATAAAGAAAACTTAAAGCAACAATAAAGTAAGTACAATACATATAAAAAAAGTCATGCATTTTCATAATATATTAAGTTAAAAATTTAATACTGAGCATATGCCATAATGATTTCTGCAATCAAATTTAAAGCAGGACATTCTGCCAGAAAGCAAGAGGAGGGATTTGTTTTTTAATTTCTCACTTACACTATATGTGTTGTACATAGCCATTTAAACCCAGAATATGTTTGTGTTGTGTAACATTACACCAAAATAATTTATTCCTGTATTTGTCAGATTTAAATATCTATTTATATGATGCTATACGTGACTGACTGCCCTATCAAGCTCCTATCATATCAACATGCAGTGAATTATGCAGACCTGTTGTGTTCAGGGCACGTAAAACTGTTTCAGACACACATCTTTATTAAAGCCAAGGCATTCTGTGCCTTTGGATGACATCTGTGTTTTTGTTGTTTTCTGTGGTTTATCAGGGCTGGTCCTTAAACTACATGCACGTCACAAATTCGCATTTTTAGAGAAACACACATTCCTACTGTACAGCCCACTGCAGTAATTCTTGTTCAAAGTATTCATGAGGTACTTTTTAAAAGCAACATACAGCTGATACCCGTAGTTGGTGAAACTGCATAACGGTCATTTCTAACAAAGAAATTCATTTAAATAACAGGAACAAACTGCAGTGATGCACCTACGGCACCAGCTTGTGTTCATGTGCAGCTGTGGATTCACTGCATTTCACCTTATGTAACGTTTCTTTGTGTAATTTCCACAGTAAGACGCTTAAAATGAACCACGATTTGGGCTCTAAGAATAAAGGCAGCATCGTGTGACTGAATTACTCCAGAGGAACACAGAGGGCCGTTTCATCGGCTCAGCTGGACCTGGCAGACTTGAAAAGGGTTGAATAGGGACACAAACTGACTACAGAGCTTGAGAAAATATTCCCGTTGTGTTGCCTAGCATCCGGACCCCAGTGAAGCCACATAGGAGAAGTGGACACACAAGATGGATGGATGGACGAATGGACAGACGGATGGATGTTGCCTGCCAGCTGCCATTTCCCAGACAACATGATCTCTTTGGCCACTTTATTAGGTATGGTTGCTTACTAACGCAAACAGGCAGCTCCTTCAAGCAGAGAATCATGTGGCTACAACTGTATATATACAGCATGCAGACAGTGTTAAGTCGGGTTCACTGACTGTTAGGGTAAGTGCCAGAAGGGCTAAGACACCTGATATGAGTGACGTCATATGTGGTGATTGTGGGCACCCGTCACACGGGACTGAGCATCTGAGAAACAACAACAACATGGCTGAGATTTTCACAAACTACAATGTCTATAGTTAATAGAGAATTGTGTAGATGGGAAAAAACAGATTAATTAGGGAGTTCAGAGGAGAATGGTCAGAATCATTAAAGCTAACAGGAAGGACACAAGTGCAAAAATGACAGCTGGATTTAATGGTGATGTGCACAACGGCTTCTCTGAACACCAATCTTGTGGTTCTGGAGGCAACAGAGGCTCCTACCTGGTACTGGCAAAGTGTACAGTACCTAAAGAATCCAAATAAGCAGATATGCAATCTATGCATTTCCCATAGTCACATATCCACAGCGGGGACACGGTGACCCCACAGCATTTCCTCGGACACAAGAGTCAGACCCCAGTGGTGAGCAGATATGGTGACACCCAGTAAGTTGCTCCATCGCTCAGAGAGCTTGCATTTATAACTACATTAACACGCAATTCCTTAAATAAAAAATGTAATAGCATATCTGTACACATAATAATCATGCTCCCAAACCAGCTCATAAAGACACATCATTATAAATCTACACCGATCGGCCATAACATTAAAACCACCTGCCTAATATTGTGTAGGTCCCCCTCGTGCCGCCACAACAGCTCTGACCCATAGAGGCATGGACTCCAGTTGCTTCTGGCACCAAGACATTAGCAGCAGATCCTGTAAGTTGTGAGGTGAGGCCCCCATAGATCGGAATTATTTGTCCAGCACATCCCACAGATGTTCAGTCAGCTTGAGATCTGAGTCTGGATGATATGTAGTTACATTTCTGGGGAGGTATGCGTCAGGCTACGGCGCAGGGAATGCGGCTACGTGTGCCGTACCAGAATGTAGATTCTACACATTAGTTAGGTATCCCAGTTTGAAAGGACTTTATCTTCATTCACTTAAATTTTAGCCCAGACTACCTCAAATCCAAGAAGTTATCCAGTTAAACAAGAAATCCTGTTTTCTGAAACAGGCCCCAGGTCCGAAACACTGAAAATAACGGCTGGCCAATCCTGGGTCCGAAGAGCGCTCAAGAGTCTTCACCCAGCCGCAGTCCCAAACGACGGATTAAAGATTAAACAGAAACACAGCACTGTATCTAAACATATGCTGACATAGAAGGACTTTTGTTCAAGATTAAATATGTTTTTCAACCTGCAGAATGGAATTTAAAGATTAATTACTCCTCGGTTAAAGATTATTGTTGACAGAGGTTACTTTAATATAACTAATCACAAGCGATCTGCAATGAAGCATGTTTTATTTTATAGGGAAATTAAATATTAGCTCCAGAAACAGTGTTTTCTGTAAGTGTTTTCCTGACACTGAAACAGTCCTCATTCGCTCAATAAAACGACAGCATTTAAACATAAACAAGTCAAAAGAGTCTTTAGAGAATTCACATAGAAAAAATAGAAAAGTCTCTTAAAACAAAGGCTTTTAGGCAATTTACGGTTATATACAGTAGCAGTGCTTACAAAAATAGATTTCGGCAAAGCAGCAGAATGCCTTTTCACATGTCATTATGCTATTGAATGGTCACAAACAGTATCTTGAAGTAGAAAGGATTCGAAAACCAGGCCAGGCGGGTCCTCCACCATGCAGGATTTCTCAGTTACCTGGGTTAACTTCATGAAGGGACGACCGTATAATAAGAGTTTAGGTAAGAAGCATTCCTATTGGACGATCATGATTTCTAGCTTAAGGTAACCCAGCTAACTGAGACATCCTGCTTTGTGGAACACCTCCCTGATGGCTCTGAGTTTACAGACCAGTAGAGGCCACTATGAACAGCATTCAGACCGTAGTAGCTTTCCTGATAGCGCAGTGAGCCAGTCCCAGCCACGGAATGGGGACGGAGTGTCACCGGTCCTCTTTTCACTGGCCGGTCCTGTTAGGGCCGGGAGCTTGCGGCTGCACCTCGTCTGTGCTCACCAAGGCCAGGCCGAGAGCTGCGTACCTCGTCTCGTGGAACTGCCGCATATGAATCTGAGTCCAGAGGTCAGAGGTCAAACCCAGCCACTTACATGAGCATTACATAAAGCCTGAACACCCTGTAGCCTAGGTCTCCATGGATGAAATTGTTTTATTAATAGAAAAGTAAGAAAGTTCATTTTGGATAAGGAATAATTACCAAACATGGTTTACCATTGTTCCTTTTATGCAAAATACATAGACATGAAAATTATCTTAAATAAAAAAAACTATGCACCTGTCAGAATTTCAGTTCCTCTGTAACAGCACAGCACTGAAATCTCCCTAGTTCTGATTCTTTAACTGCAAGATTTCTTTTATCAAAACTTTGTACTTAAACCATGTATGAGATCATAAATGTTATAAATGCATTTTAAGGGGCATCTTGACTCTTTTTTTTTTTTAAACACAAACCAAATGATTAAATATTAAATATTCAAACATTAAATATTCAAGATGTTTTTATTCGTTTTCAGATGAACAGCTTTCTTTAAAAATAAAAAAATATATAATGAAACGGTGTGCTTAGTGAGTGGTGTTTGGAGGGGGGGCATGGCCCACGATTGCCCACCCATGACACCCCCACCTGGATGTGATGACAGAGCACAGTGTAGATGACGTTTTGGAGGTTAAAAGCACCTAAGTGGATAATTGCCGTCTGCACTCTGGGACTGATTTCAAATTGGTACAGTTATTGTGATGCAACCCAAGATAATGCCCCCCGCCCCCCATGACTCATGTACGGCCTTGTGAATAAATCCCAAGGACTAAGGCCATACCTGGATATGGAGATTGACCTCCGCACTCCGCGAAAGGTAAGGGAAGTTCCCGCCCGTTTTGAGGTGAGCTCGTTTTGCATCTGGGTACAACTTGTACATCTCCTCCTTAGCCTCTTGGGAGAGCGCGCTCTGATCGAAGACCTCGGAGAAAAACGGACACGTGCAGAGCAGTAAGCTTACCTGTGTGAAACCGGGTAGCCATTGTGGAAACAGCTAACATACAATATAGAGCTTACATCTATTATGGTCACCGTGACGTCCCTCAGTTTATGAGGCTCCACGTAGGAATTCTGGCAATTCAGGGTCAGTCGCGAGGCCAGTTCACTCTGTTTCAGGCCCTCCAGCTTATATAGGAACAGAAAATCACATCTCTCACTGCGGTTATATCCAAAATGCTTCCCATACAAAAATCTGCACCTGCACCGGCGCAATCCATCATGGGAGTACAGTACACATGCCTTCTTCCAAATGACCGTGAGGTATTTAAAAAAAAAGACTCCCACAGATACTCAAAGCCAAAAAATAACAAGTGCTGTTTGAGTTGAGTTATTGAAATCTCATCTGCAAAGTATTCTTATTGGAATATGTATAAAAATATGCATTATAATGTGCACAGGGCAGATTTTGTACTGAATGAAATAGCAAAAACTCAATGCTTATGCAACAAATCGATGAAATCTAGACATGACATGAGATGGAAAATTCACCACTGACACGGGAACCCTGGGCCGTCTGTCTTACCCGATCTACCATGAAGTCTATGGCATCGGCGATTTCCGGATCTACAGGTCCACTCCCAAAGTTTCCAAGGACAATCTTCTTCAACATGAAGGCCGGCATCAACCAAAAACTGTGCAAGGAGAGGAGATTGTTATGAAGGGCTCAGCGGCCAACAATGAGGCCTGGCGCCCAAATGAGGAGCAGTCAGGAGGACGGGACTCAGTCACCTGTTTGCCATCCAAGTCTGATTAAAGATGGAAGTATCACTGAAGGAGTTGCAGAGGATGAGGGAGTGCACTCGGGGGGATTTGTGAGTATATTCTGCAAATTTCTGAGCCAGGAAACCACCTAGGGACGCTCCAAACAGATGTATCTAACAGAAAAATTAAAGGCTTATTTTACCATCAAACACAATAAGCATAAATGCACTGATGGAAACTTTTTCTTTTTTTACAAAGCAATGAGGTCTGCAAAACCTTGTCCAGCTGTAAATGATCGAGAAGCTTCCTGAATCCATCACAGAATTCCAGTAGATCCCAGTAAATTGGATACTGGAGCTGCGGGAAACACGATTAATCGTAAGTAATCCAATATTATAGTCGAATACAATAATATCTAAGTCATCTAAATGACTATCCAACAGGCAGCGATTTTAGTATAACAGTGCGACGTCAGGAAAGTGGTGCTCACCGCGATAACTCTGTAGCCCCAGCCGGTCAGGGCCAGAACCTGCTGGAAGAAGATATCGGCCGTTCCGCTGACGGGCGGAAGTAAGACGACGGGGCAGCGAATGTTCTTGGGACCAGCATCGTACAGCGACCATACCTTACTGTCATCGTCATCCACAACGATCTACAAGAGCATCAACTACAACTGTTGCGAGACCAAGAGCGAAACACTGCATACTACAAGTAAAGTGGGCTCCTTTAGGTAAATATCAATTAAAACCCACTGTAACTATGTAACTAGCAGCAACATATAACATAGTCCAGATATATTGGAGTGTTAATATGAGAAAAAAATGACTTACTCGTTTGAGAGGAACTGTGCTTCGGAACCAGTTGTAATCAGGAGATTGACTTATTTCATCCATATCTGCTGCAAGGGAATTTATATTAGTTTTTATGAAGAAAAATTAAAATCACAGAAACATAAGAAAAATATAGCAACAATAAAATCTATCGAAAAGGGGGCAAAAAGATAATGTGGTGCTATAACCCGCCCTCTATTGCGACGTGCCATACGTTAATATCAGTGTTGCACATATCACAAGGGTCAGCTGAAAAGCACTTCACATAACACCAAAGAATTGCACAAGAGAGAATAACAAAGCGAAAGTTAAGCAAGCCTAATTCTAACTCGCATTACGACGGGAAAGTCCGACAGAACGCCTGATCTTTACTCCGCAGCAAAGTTTAAAAAACTATTATAATCACTAATTACCGTTTGTAACTAAGACTCCATTCGCCCTTATTTGAAGCAGCCGCTGTCACAAGACCGCATTTACCCCTTTGCACCCCTCGCGCTCCGTGTGCTTCGCTCGCGACAGAGTGACAAGCTCGCGCCTGTACTTCCGCATTGAGCACGAGGGGCGGGGAGGGGGGGTGCCCTCGCTGCGTCACGGATAACCACACGCGCGAGAGCTGCTGCCTGCTGATCTGCGGGGGTCAACCAGGCACTAATGGCTGAGCACCGAAATGACTAATTACACACTTACATTGAGAAATAAAATATTAAAGATACGTTGACTGGGATTCTAGCCATGTCTACGATTCATTATTCGCCATCATTATTATTGCTGTGCAGGAGCCCTGTGTAGCTTAGCTCTTTCCCTGTTCCACCATAAATTATTCAGCTCAAGAACTGTGTAGTAATTAGCACAAGGCGTTGAAAATGAGGGGAAACCCAAAAATGTGCAGGGCTCTGGCCCTCCAGGACTGGAGTTGGGCACCCCTGTATTAGCAGATGCTGGACATTATCATATTGATACATTATCCTTCCTATACTGGTGATAGAGTGTTTTTATTCGTTCTTTGAAAAAGCGGAGTCCTTAGTTTTTTATTTTTCGAAATGTAATCTTTTGACTTTTCTTTACATCGTTGTAATTTTCACTAAAGGAAAGATAACGTTCTTCCTTGTTGGGGGGTTACAGACTAGATTTGCAGTCGTAAGAGTATCATCTGCTTGCTGTTTGTTTGGAAACGCCAGCTAGCCGCAGCGTGTACCCCCCAGGGCTTTCCCGGCCTCCGTACTCCGGCTAACCCGATTCTCCCCCCCTTTTCTCGGTGACATGTGATGCAAACAGACCTGCGCGGAATAACCCGTAGCGGTGCGAAGCCGGAGCCTCAGCACCGTAAGCCGCTCCGTACTGACGCTGACCGGCCCTGTCCGTGAAAGCCCACCTACGTGAGGAAGCGCCGTCATTCGGGGGGTGCTGGGGGGCGGCCTGGCTCGGAGGGGTCTCGGCGGCCGCCGCTATACGCTGGCAGCTTCCTGCTGCTGTCTCGCTTAAAACTCCTGTTGTCGGGTGTAAGGCTGGGGGCTTTTTGGTTCGGGATCACGACCGATGTCCAATAAAGGGCCTCGAAAGGCGACCGTGCCGTGAACTTGGTCTTGTTTACACACTATAATCATCTTTTTCGCATGGCTGACTATTAATCCGACTTGATCGTTTTCCCGTTTCGATCCGGCGGGCCTCGGCCTACCTCCGAATACCCCGATCGGCGCTGCTTCACTTCGCCCCCTTTTCTCGTTTGATTTCTCTGCAGCAGGAATCTGGTGGCTTTTTTTTTTTTTTTAAAGACTCTTGTATTTGTTTTTGTTGGCAGAACCTTTAGGACAAAATGTCCTGTACTTGCACTTCGGCAGCAAGATTGTTAATAAGCTCGGCGCAAAGGGGTAAGTGCGATTTGAAGTCGTGTGTGTTTTTTGTCTTATTATTTTATTAGTAGAAAGTGATTAGTTGTTTGTTATATGACTTTATTGGCAAGTGGCCGGATTGCTAGCGGCATGTTAGTGGATCGATTTGTGTTTTATCTCGGACATTGCCCACGTCACGAGCTGTCAACAAGCAGCAAACCGACTCATAATAATAATAATAATAATAATAATAATGATAATAACAATTATCATTAGTTTACGTTTAGGTGTAAGTTCAGTTTGACCGAAAACCCATTCCTTTTGGGGAAATGAGACCTAAAGTACTGATAAAATCAGACCAGCTTTCCCGAAACCGGGGGAGAAACGTGACTTTTTCTGCTGGGGTGACGAAGACTGTTTTTGCCTGTCAACCCGGGGAACTTTTAAAGGCGAACCCAACCCGGACCCAAAGCATTACTAACGTGGGCAACAGATTGGAAGATTATTTAATATTTAATTTTACTGTCGGCCTTGGGCATATGTGTCAGTTAGCTAACAATGTTCTGCATGTGACAGCGGGTCTGAATGATTTACTAGTTCAGGGACAATGTCTTCATGTTTATTTCTAACTATTTGATGATGTGAGAGATTTCAGTCATTTTAATATCAGCCGTCCTTTATTGTTTTATTTAAATTAGTTTATTAGTGAGTCAGTTGCCGATTATTCTTATACGAGTGTGTTAAGTGATTAACTAAATGTTTTTCAAACCAGATAGGCTCCTCATATATGTTCATGCATTTTGAGAAGTCTGTTCCTATTCTCCTAAGTCTGGGCCTCGATCTGATCACATTGGCAGGGATCTCCTGCACTCGCGCTCAGCTGGTGGCCCTGGGCAGAGTGGTGCCATATGATGGCACCTTGACATGCCGAGTGCCTGTCAGATTATTCTCAGTGACGCCGGTCTATTCTGCCTCGAAAGATGGAATGTCTAAAGATGGTGATGGTGGAAAGGTACATCAATTTATGCTTGTTTTCTGAGTTGAATAATTCATGTAGCTCAACAAGTATAGTACTGTAATAATAGCACAAAGGTTGTGTGTTCAAATCCTAGGGACAATGTACATAATGACAGTGTACCCGTTCACTTTGGATAAAAGGGTCAGGTTAATGTAAAAGTCTTCCTTTTTGGTACCTTGCTATTCTGAAATGTCAGAGGTACCAAGAACGAGGCCCCCCCCATGTTCTATGTGTTAAGTGTTCTCTTCATGTGCAGAAGACGATCAGCGACGCTGGTGGGAAGAGATCAGCGGGTTCAGGAGGTAGCGGGAAGGGGGGGGCCCACCTGCGCTGCCCCAAATGTGGGGACCCCTGCACTCATGTGGAGACATTTGTCTGTAAGTGTGTGTGGATGTGTGTGTGTGTGAGGGGGGGGATCCCCCCGTGATGAAAACCTGTTATTTTGATTTTGTGGGGACCATTCTTCCGGGCTCAATTTTATAAAAATCTGTGACTGCAGTCAAAAAACTAACAATGCCAAAAGTATTTTGTTTGGTGGCTGGGTTCGGGTTAAGGTTGTCATTGTTGGGATTAGGGTTATGCCCATAGAAATGAATGGAGAGTCCCCACAAAGATGTATATACCTTTTTTGTGTGTATATACATAATTTAAGTTTGTATGTTTTTTTCCTAATTATCCATGTTTAATTTTTCTTTTCCAGTGTATCTGATGCTTTACTGCAAAAAATGTTTAGTCTTTTTTGTAGTAGAGTACTGAAGGCTGTATATTTCCCTGGACCATCTGAGCTTAGTCTGAACCCTTTTAACACGATCACTGTACTGGTCGGTTCAGCTCACACGATCACTGTACTGGTCGGTTCAGCTCACACGATCACTGTACTGGTCGGTTCAGCTCACACGGTCACTGTACTGGTAGGTCCAGCTCACATGGTCACTGTACTGGTAGGTCCAGCTCACATGGTCACTAAGGCTGCACATGGACCCCCATTGCTGGCTGTAGTTCACTGTTTCTCTGGGATTGTACTTTCCTCTGTGCCCAAGAGGCCAGTGCCTGCTGGTGATTCGTCAGTGTGCATTTAGTCCTGCTCGTGTCACTTCCCCTAACGTGCTCCTTTGCCTGCTCTCTGTGGCCTCTTTTCTTCCCTCCGGCTCATCAGCATCCACGCGCTTCGTGAAATGTGAGAAATGCCAGCACTTCTTCGTGGTGCTCTCCGAAACGGACTCCAAGAAAAGCCTGAACAAGGACCCGGATTCGGCTGCCGAGGCCGTTAAACTGGCCTTCCAGCAGAAGCCCCCCCCACCCCCGAAGAAGGTGAGCCACATTTGGGCGACTGGTTAGCTGTCCTCTGTCTTTAATCCTGCTTATCTGATGCTGGCTGGATTTCTGGATATCTAGGAAATCTAATGTAGGGGTTCTTTTACTGGATGTGAATGAGGTTGATTTCAAGGGACCTGTGAACTGAGAAGGGGAAGAACCCCATAATCCAGATGTTAAGTGTTCACTCCAGATGTCGTGTGTCCTGTCCAGCCTGGGTGCCTGTGCTGTTTCAGCCAAACAAAGGCTTGCTGTTATTTCATTGCAGATTTACGCCTATCTGGATAAGTACGTGGTGGGCCAATCTCATGCCAAGAAGGTGCTATCCGTGGCTGTGTACAACCATTACAAGCGCATCTACAACAACATCCCAGCCAGCTCCAGGCCGCAAGTGGAAGTGGACAAGCAGGCCAGTCTGACTCCCAGAGGTGAGGGCGGTTTTTGCAAGGAACCCAAATGCCGGTTTGCTCCTTAAGGGGCCCCTCATGCCTGCGGCAGAGGGGGCTGCCGTCTGTCCACGTTGAATGCTTTGCAGTTTTGTTTCATGGAGTTTTGACGACAAACTGAGCTGCTTGCTTATAGGTTGGATGTTTGTAAGTTAGATGGGTTTGGTAGTGCAGATTAAATTAGTCCCCCAAAACGTGTATTTAAGGAATGATTTTACAGCCAATGAATCTCACTGATTTCACCCTGTGACCCAATAGTCATTCTGTGCCATTAATCTGGACTCTATATCTTACAGCTCTAGGCTGTTTTTTTTCTTCCATTTCTGGGTCTGTTCCATGTGTCAGAAACACATGGAATTCAGCATGCAGAGCCATTTGTCAGCTAGTACCACAATCTCGGTGCTGCACCCAGTCGTGTGTCACCAGGGAGTGAGGGCTGAGAAAAGGGTGTGAATGCATTAATCATGGAAAGAAAAAAACACACAATAATGCCATCCTTTTATTTGCTTTTCAAAATCTATAACTATGGATGTGCCAATCCACATTTTTGGTACTCCTATCCAATCCTTTTAGTATTTATATCTGCTGATTCCCAGTGCCAAGCTGATATTTTAAGCACACCCATGTACTGGTTAGGGCCATGTAGTTTGGCATTTGTACAGTGTCTCATATGTTAACTTGTCTCATGGATGTGCTGCTGTCACAAATGCTGATGGAGCTGGTGTCAAGGGAATCAGGCTTGGTGAGTGCTAAGGGCGAGCGCTGACGGACGGACAGCAGAGGGCGGGAGCTGACGGATGGACAGGAGAGGGCGGGAGCTGACAGATGGACAGGAGAGGGCGGGAGCTGACGGATGGACAGGAGAGGGCGGGAGCTGACGGATGGACAGAAGAGGGCGAGCGCTAAGGGCGGATGGACAGAAGAGGGCGAGCGCTAAGGGCGGATGGACAGAAGAGGGCG